TTGGACAGATATACTTTTCTTGAACGTGAATTACAGACTAGTAATGCGAGAGATAAATGACCTTCTCATTACCTGTAACAATAATTTCGTATACATTTATAATTCGTAATATTGCTATATTTAGGTTAATGGTTCCCGCTATTCCGTTAGGTATTTTAATTAATCTGCATTTGGATATCGCATATTTCTGTTTTCAGAGAAGCATGAATACCACACCTCAGTAGAATAATAAGATACCTACCGCGTAATACATTCCTGCGTCGAACGCAACTGAAAATAACAATTAGGAGGTAATACAGCAAGTAGTCAATGGCCTTCAGTGGAATCTCTAAACACAATAAAAAGAAAGGATATAATATTTTGTAACAACGTTTTTAAACATTCAAAGAAAACAATGATGGAGTCGACTGAAATCAAGAATTCGTCCCAGAATTTGTGTTACCTAATAAATCAAATCGCATTTCACAGTGAAAGGAAGAAATAAATACGATTTGAAATGAATATCAAATAATAGAAACCAAAATAAACTCGGCGACAATAATTTAAAATTACTCGTATTAAAGGTAAGAAGATATGATTATCCATTTAATTTGATGGAAAGTTGAGTCACGAGGTGAAACATTATAATTTCCTGATTATGTTACATAACAATTCTCTGATTTTGAACGACCTCGTTGAACTAGCGGTCGACCCGCTTTTCCAGGGGTATCAAATATACCTTCCTACATTTTTTGTCATTGTGTTACATCAGCTTGAACATGAAGAAGCTTCCTATTCTGACCAGGACCTGAAAGGCATGTTTTTGAAGATAAAAGATGAAATTTCGCCTTATAGAAAATATTAGACTATTTGAGAGTATTCGAAAGTACTCCACAATATTCCGGAACATTTTGAAAACTTTTGGATTATTGATCATTGTGGAATGATCAAAGGAAGATAGTTAAGGTGTGGTAGATCTCTATCCCCATCCGTGAAGAAGGTTTCCGTAATTACCCGGAGATGTGAAGGTTGTAAGTTTCGCCCTCTAGAAGATAGTATAGTAGAGAGTGTTCGAGAACATTCCACAAAAATACAGAGTATTCCAGATCACTGTGGAATGATCAAGGAAGTAATAGATCTGTTGTGGCAGCCCTATATCCTTCATTCATTCCTCCAAAGGTTTACTTTTGAATATATATGGCCTAGAAATTTCGCCTTGTATAAATTTCCAGAATCCAAAAAATTTGAGAGAAATTGAGAACATTCCACAACCTTCCAGATCATTCCGGAATATTCGAGATAGTCTCAAACTTATTACAATATGTTAAAACAACGATAAAAATAAAATAAATACAAACTAGAAACTTTCGGGAACAGTCCAGATTATTGTGTAGCGATGATGGAAGTTATATGGTGGGGTTTTTCTTTATCCTCCATTCTAAAAGTTCCCGTTTTCACCTGAAGGGCGAGCTTTTTTAAAGGTGAAAGGTTGGTTTAAAGATAAAGTTTGTAGAATAGTCATTATTTGAGAGCATTCGAAAATACTCCACAATATTCCAGAGCATCCCGCAGAGTTGTGTTAGTTACACTATTTATAAATAGTGTTGATATAACTCAAGAACGGATTCAAAAATGAAAATAAAGATCAAACTAATTGACAAAAGTTCAGTTATGTCAGCTGTCATGGTGCATTTGGTGTTGTGCAAGCATCAATTATCGTCGTGTCATAATAGAAGCAACTTCAACAATATACATCACAGTGTTATCGAGCGAGAAGACCGAATCTTTCACAACGAAGCCGTAATGCAATTAATTCACTACGGAATATTGCGAATCCACTGAAGGTGAAGAATCTGCAGCTAACCATGAAAATGACCTGGCAATACTGGCATGTTACTATGACCCGACTTCGTGTTTCACATACACAATATAAATAAGTTACTGTCTTCTTGAATTACTCCAATCATTAGTGAAAGCCGATGGAAACCTGTTTGGTAGTTTTTGAGTTCATCACGTTCAGACAGACAGACAGACACAGCTGTAGACTTCAATTAATAAAATGTGTTTATTATAGAGAAATCACTTATATGCGTGTACCTATTCACTATCTGAAAAAATTAACGGTTCCTTGCACTCCTGAGTTCTGATCTGAATAAAATTCTTTGTTTTAGTACTATTTTATTGTGTTCGACTGTGAACATTTATGTGTTTCAATAGGCATCTAGTTTGAAGACCACATGAGTCGAAACTGTTGAAATTTATATAAAATATATTTTTGTCGTAATAAATATTTTTAAACGGCTGCAAATTGCCTATAATATTTCAATACCTAGATTTTTTAATTTTTATTATTTTTTTGTCTATGGAAGAATTTGTTGAGAGTGACTTATCTGGTTTGAAAATCAAGCGCCTCACATATATCTCTCATTGATATGAGAAAAATGATTGGGCGCTCACGACAGAAGCAACCACCATCGAAAACACTCACCAGAACAAAAATGCTGTCCTTAGGCGTCCGTTGATTAACCAAGTTAGCGTTATCAGGAGATGACTACTGGCGTACTGTTTCAATTTTACTACCGTACTTCGACTATTTCCTCTGAATAAATTAAATAGAATAGTTTTAGAACATATTGTGTATTTAAAATATATATCAAATATTATAATTTTTTCCCAAAACTTTCTTTGATAATGCACTAAACGAATAGTAAATCAGAAATAACATATTTGTTACCCAAGATCAAACATCTTGATTTCGATTCTTTCAAATGAATGTGTTTCTAAATATTCGTAACAGAATGATTCATTGGAAAATGTATGACTGGATGACAAATTTTCAGCAGTACGAAACTCTAAAATCATTTTATGCCTACGTCTAATTTTAAATTGTAGAAACATTTACATTTTCCGTGGCAATAAAAATATAATAAGAGAGCTGTTACGGTTGTTTTTGTTTTTTCGTGATATCGAATGTGCATAAAAGTAGCGGATTTTGAATCAATATATTAGATAACAAACATGTACCTAGTAAAACTCATCACCATATTTGATTTAATGACGGTTATTATGGATTCCTGTCTGATAGTCATGACGCGTTATTCACTCGTCGCTAAGCCAAATCCAAAGTCTGCAAGAGTACGTGATTTGTAAACTATTAGGATGATGCAATGAAAAAAAAGTTATATATAATACGGATGTATACGGGCTGTTTTCACTGTGGACGTATAAATAATATAGTCTGAAATGTATGAGGCTTATGATTTCAATGACAAACTTGGTGTTTTTTGTATACTCTCAGATTTAATTTCTATAGTAATCCATTTCCATAGGAAAAAAATTAAGATGAGAAACATATTTCATGTACTCAAGAACTGAAGTAAATGCACGATACACTTTGTAATGAGTTATTGAAGAACTATAAATCAAATAGATATTGAAAAATAGGTACAAAAGTTAAAAAAAAATGATGGTGAAAAACTAAAACAAACAAAAAACATTATGATTACAATGTATTCCAGCCTGATGCTCTCGCATCGAGCCAAGCTTTCGATCCGTTTCGAACGTTTTCAAACCAAATATATATTTCTGAGAATTTAACGTTTACTATTATGGAATTGTACATAAGAAACTCTATACCGAGTTCCGTGTTTCTAATGATAGAAATAGCAGAAGCAGCCAAACACAAAAAGGTCTAGCCCACTTATCGTTCCCTTTGAGATAGAAATTCAAAACCCCCCCGATAAGAGTGTCGTTTCATATAAAGCAAATTAGAGGTATCTAGGGCTGGGTTCAGATGAGTATTTTTCCAAAATGAATGATAATAGCTTGACTTGATTTCGAACCGAGTCGAGGATTAAAAAATCGAAGCAAACTTCAAACCGAGCCACAGCTTTTTGAAATCGAGCTCAAAGCTCGACTCTCATACACCTCTACTATTAATGTATCAAAGGAATTGGGAAAATTTATTTGGGAAATTTCTCCGCATAAAATATTTCTTGCATGCTTTATATGAATACTTAATGTGCCTTACCATGCAACTTTCAAAATAGTGGACAAAAGTACAAAAACTTTTTGCTATACCTCACTACACGTAATGAGCTGATTCAGATTATTTAAAAAACATCTAAACCTGCTGTCGGTGTCGATGAAATTAGAGGGTATATTTTTCATTCTATATCTAGTGACATAAGTATACTATTTCCACGGTACAAATTCATTTCTTACATTACGAAATGTTCCTGGAGTAATTTCGATGCAAGCATCTTTTTTTTATTCACGAGTGTCGGACTAGACTGTGTATATATCGTAACACTTCAGATATCACGTATTCTTTCAAAAAAACACCTAAAGGTGTCATGTCAGGTGATCTAGTGAGCTCTTTTAAAAGACCACGTCTGTCTATTTACCGGTTTTTCATAGCGGATCTGTAAATTTTCACCAATTACAGCATATTATCGCAAAATAACGGTAACAATGATCAGTCGTGGAAATAATGTTGAATGAAGAATCTTATCAAAAATAAAGAAACCGAAAGTTACGTTCATATGGTTTCTCTAACTACACCTCATTAAATCACTCACAGCTGAAGTAAAAGTTTAATGAATTTACGCACTGTTACACCACAAATTATATGTATCAAGCAGTTTTACAGTTAATTTATACAGTTTTACTGTTAATGAACAATGCCCCTTTTTCTCCATTCCCATAGATAAATTCTCAGCCGTCAATGCAACCTTAACAAAACTTTGTGTTTCCAACTTCTACAACAAGAGCACGTGCAATCGAAAATGAAAGGCGACAGACAAAAAATATTAAATCAAGGAAAATCGCAACAATTATTCTATACATACAGATATTAAAGACAAAAATGTCTGTATGCCAATCTAGCTGCTTCAATGAAAACAAAATATTTTCTACCGTTACCTATATTTGAATAATATCAACTTTTATCACTTTATAATCAAAAATAATTATTTTCCAGAAAAAAATTACGAAATCCCTTTAATTATTTATTGTTTCAGGTGATATCGGTACAACAATCTTAGAAGGAAGTAAATTGAATGTAACGTGGCATTTGGGATATCCACATAAGGTGAGTTAATGTTTCTGTTAAAATTTACCTCAACACTTGAGCTATTGCAGAAAATTCATCATTTAAAAATGTATGCTGAACATACTGACTCATTATCTTTAATATTTGATAATGATTTTCTTCAACGTTTCTTTGTTTCAGGGAGGATTTAAACTGCAGTTATTAGATTATTTAGAACGACCAGTTTTAGATTTAACTCCAACGATACAGGGATCCGAATTCGTTTCGAATGATGCCACGTGAGTTTTTCATTCTTGTAGAAAACTATGGATATAAGTTAGGTCATCGTATACATCAGATAATTACCTAACGAAAGAGATGAAAATATATCCAAGCGGTGTTTGAAATTTGTTATCTGATGAACATTTTTACACATTTTGTTATTTTATATTAAAAAAAAACAACAAAATATCTCATACGACTTTTTTGCTATTTTGAAAAAGTTGGCCTCGGAGGGAAAATACGAAAACGGACTTCTTTAGTCAAACTCTTCAATCTGTTATGGGTTTTTCTTCACCATTCAACTGGTCATCATTATATGCAACTTAAATTCCATTTAACCGACTATCTATGTACCACACCGGCTTGATCGAAAAAGTAGCCACCCAGAATAGTTTATATTGTAAATGTAAAATTTATTTTTCAGAGCCCAATCGTTTGAAGTCCAGTTACCGACTGAATTCACCTGCGACAATTGTACTCTCAGGTTAATTAGACAAGCTTTGGAATGGGGAGCTGGCTACAAATTTTGGTCTTGCGCTGACGTTGATATCAAACCAAGTAAGTCTGACAAATTTAAGTGAAAAATGTTTAGGTAGCTAATATAAGTAACGACTCTAGAATTTTAGATGAACGGTGAATTGAATTCATTATACAAATACTAAATCTATTATTTAAAGATTCAATTGTTACGTAAATTGTTCATCAACATAACGTATTACGAAATACATCGACTCCATTATTCTTAAGTTTTGAATTTTATTCCATACGTCTTTGAGTCAAGAATTTCTGTACACCATTATTAGTTTTACCAATATTTTAGGAAAGAAATTCAGAGAAACTTGCAGTGGCCACGGAAAAAACTTGGTAGGTAGATGTAAGTGCGACAGACTTTACTACGGTAATCTATGCCAGTTCAGAGACGAATGTATCGAAAACAGCGATTGTGGTGACCACGGAAAGTGCATAGATATTGACGCTACCACTGCCCCAAAGAAGCAATGCTATTGCCAGTTAGGATGGTTCGGACCGGGTTGTATCAAAAGTGAGTTAACTGCAAATATATTACTTGAGAATACGCTGCGTTCTTCGGGAATTTATGAAAAATAATACTCGTTCCTATGCTTTCAAGCAATTTTTACTGATTTTCTACAACGAAATAACTTTTTCGTAGGATCTCCGGTAAAAACGACGGAAATCGACTTCGATGTATACACCGAAAAAAAGTTGAGCGATACCTTCCGTCTATATTGGAGAATCCTCAAAGAACACAAAGAGTTGGAAGCAGTTATGGTCGTGAACGGTACCAGCTATGCCGCTCTCGGTTGGCGGCCAAAATCACTCAACAAGACTTGCAAAAACTTTCCCCAAATAGGCCCTCAAATATCAGATGAGGCCACAATCGATCCGAAAGGAGAACCCGCTTCAGAACCAGAACCCAAAGGGGAACCCGAACCAGAGCCCAAAGGGGACCCCGAACCAGAGCCCAAAGGGGAACCTGAACCAGCTTCCGAACCGGAACCGAACGGTGAACCTGAGCCAAAAAGTGAACCAGAACCTCAAAGTGAACCGGAACCGAAGACGGAACCGGAACCTACTTCTGAACCGTCTGCAGAACCGACCACGACCACCATTCAAGACGGTCAATACAGGAAGTCGTTGTATTCCCGAAGGTCAGCGTCTCCCACTCCATTGGTCCGAACTGCTCCTGCATATGATGACGTGGTAGAGACGAGTGTATCGTTTCAAGTTAGCAAAAAACAAGGTACGAATATATCCCCATATATCTCTGTTAGTTAGGACAAAACAAGTTTTAAAAATGGTAATTTCCTTTAAATAACTTAATACTTATAACCTGTGTGTAATAAGGTCTAAAAATTCAAATATTCAGTTTTTTATTGTGTTAGCTAAATTGCTGACGAGATATCTGATAAAAAAATAACTAAGCATAAAAATAAGTAGAATAACATCTTTGTTTATTTACAGGTCGAAATAAAAGAGACGCCCAAGGTAAGATTATTAGAAATTCTCTAGTATGAAACAAATTAACAAATCTAATTGCAACTTTGATAGTTTTAGATGTATTCACCTAATTTGTTTTATAATATAACAAAATCTAACAAAATACTTCGACCCACAGTATGATAATTTCCTTGACTGGTAATATGCCTATTTTTTTACAGTTATGGTGTGTAGTGAAAAAAATTCGTTAAATTCACAATTTGGAAAATTCTTATTGGTTCAGTCTATCATATAGAAATTTTTCATTGAAAGGGGTATATTTTTAGTAGAGAATAATTTTTTTATATAAAAATGAAGAAGTATGAAGTCAAAATTGTTTTTTCTATATTTTCTGTTGTGCATTCCTTTGAAAAATGTATGACAGTATCTTCTCATTAAATTTACGGTGGTTGATTTTTCAACTCTTTGTAGAACCTGTCCCGGAACCAAACAGTGCAGATCAAGAAACCAGGCCAGAACCTTCAGTGGAGCCAGAACCCAAATCTGAACCAACTTCACTACCAGAACCTCAATCACAACCAGAGCCTCAGTCAGAACCAGAACCACAATCAGAACCAGAACCCACCTCAATTCCAGCACCACAATCTGAACCCGAACCTAAATCTGAACCGACACCTTTAGTTTCTTCAAAATTGCAAGCTGCACCAAAAGAAAGCAGTCAAGGTACTATAGAATAAAATTGATAATTTCGTAGCTTATGAACTGTCTACCTTCTATCACATTCAATTTCTTTTCAAATAATTGTAAATTGAATTCAATAAAATTCTCGATGAAAATATTGAAACAAAAATGTTTTTTCTATAGCTACATCGGAAGACCTACATCTCAACCCTTATACGCCACGACACGATTTCAGCCCTATGGATTGCACCGATATAATCATTGGATCCGCTCGAGGTACTGCCAGCAGAATTGCTGATTACTACACCAGGGACAGATCAACGCCTAGGATGGACTCGTTTTGGGGTGGCAAGAATGATTTGACAGCAGCAATGGGCTTCGAAAAGGTAGGTAGAGACGAAAAAACACATACTTTTGTTTTTGGTGATCTCGCCAACCATTTTTTTTAATTTGAACACAATGAATTTTCTGCCATATCGGCGTTACATTGCGACTTGTTTTATCTCCAAATTACCAGCACATTATACGGTAGAAACAATAATAAAGGAAATAACTTTATATGCTAGGACGGAGTTACTACCATCCTATTCAGAAAGAAACTTGAAGCAAAGGAACCATCTGATCATACTATCGAGGACGATTTGATGCACGTCATTTTCGCTCAAGGACAAGAGGTGGGAAAATATATTCACGTGCCCAAGTCTGGAGTTGAATCTGCACAAGCCTCTATCAAAGACTTCTATAGACCGGATGAGTTGAAATACCATGGACACAAGGCTCAAAGGGGAGTCGTCACTCTAAATTTTTTTGGTAAGTGAACATTATTCACAAGAGTTTATAAGTACTACAGATACATTTCCTTTCTCTCTTCTTTATTCAAATCATTTGAAAAACTAGTGTCTACAAGACAACTATTCAGACGTAGGTCTATAGAAACAGAATCGTGTCATTTGCTCATAAATCTTGTCTTGGGTTGATTTGAATTACATTAACTGCTCGCCAGGAGCGAATGAATCATCCAGTTTTGCGAAAAAATATTATTAGGGAACAATATAGGCTCAAAATTCCAACAGTTTTGGAATCAGAACATCAATTTTACTACCAATGAAGATTTCCGTTGAAAAATTGTCAGGTTTGCCAACGACAGAACAATAAGGATTTCTTATCAGAATATGGTAGTTTGTGGCTGAATCCTTTAAATAAATCAATAAGAGCTAGTCAATTTTTTTTCAGGAGAGAAGAAGACAGAAGAAGCAACCGGGACAGTTGCCACTGGCAATTCTGCAGAAAACTCAGATTGCGGGGGAATATGGAAAGTGCCTAAAAATTGCAATCCGGACAACTTTACTTGCGAATATTCAGCTAAATGGGAGCTAGTACCGCGAAAGGATACTATTAGATTTACTATTACTAACAAATACACGGATCTCTGGACAGGGATAGCTTTTTCTGATAACGAGAAAATGGTAAGTGCGTTGAAAAAATTTCTATAATATAATTTCTTTAATAATCAAGTTAGGTAAATTAAAACAAACTAATGAAAAATATCAAACAAAATGGAGAACTTCATACAGTTGTAGAAAGGGCAAACTTTTTAGTTTTCCCCGATAGAACTGCCTAAATTCAAAATTCTCAATTGTACTTTGTAGATTATTTTTTCAATTCAAGCAAATAAAAACGCAACTTTTTGATCTCTTATCTTTTGTTAATAATGTCTAGTTTCGTTTTTGAGAAAAAAACCACTCTATTGCATATCATGAAAAAGAAAAAAAGATTGAGGCCAATTTTTCACGATATTACGACCGTTTTTGAAGCGACTATAATTTTTGTTGGAACTTATCAGAACGGACCGAAAGTATGGTGGAGATATGTTGTAAATGTTATTTGGAATAAAAGTTTGCACGTCTAAACTAGTATAGTATAAAGTTCATTTTGTTTTCATCAAATTGTGGAAGATGAAAATCCCCAGAAAAGTCGATAATAAAAAAAAAATCTAATGGTATATTGGTTTCAGTACGATCTGTATGAATGAAAGAAGTCAAAGCCGTTCTACTTTTATAATTCATCCACCTTTTCATTCTTCCAGTCGCAAACGGATACCATTATAGGATGGGTTGACAAGACAGGACGTCCATTTTTAATGGACTCCTGGTTGTCTGGATATACCCAACCACTACTAGACCAGACTCAGGACATTTTCAACATAACCGGAAAAATAGTGGACGGTGTTACGACGCTTTCTTTCGCGAGGAAGAGGATCACGAACGATCCCAGAGATTTCTCTTTCACCAACGATCGATGTCTCTTCATGATGTTCCCCACGAGGGGAGGAGCATTCAATGGCGTCAACAAGAAGATAAGAAAGCATGAAGTGGTTCCTACTATTTCGACCGAGAGGATTTGTATCAGATCGTGTGGAAATGGTTCGTTTTTTTGGATTTTTTATCTTTATCATAATTTAAAGAAATATGTAAACCAGTAGAAGTCTGAACATTTAGGAAATTAATCTGAATATAAGTTGAATATGACAGCTATCTAATAAAAATGTACCTACATATATGCAGCAAAAAAATTCTTTATGAGGGAACTAAAAAAATGTGGTAAATTTTCGTTTTGAGGACACCCGGCGATTTTGAAAAAAATTTTGCGTGTACTTACGTATTCTGATGTGTAGATTACGAATCCGAAAGAAAAAAGCAGCGCTCTCCCTTATTTACAAAGTTACGGCCCTTCAATGTTCTGAAAAGGGCAACTTTTCAGTCTTCTTTTTCACAAAATAAACTATTTAAAAACACAAGCATCTATTCACTAGGTCACCTTTACACCTTATTCCTCCTTCTTTGACACTTTTCACTTCAATAATGAACATTTTTCTTATAAAAAACTTAATTTAAAAACGAATGCTTCTCCTGGTGACATTATTCTATTTTTAGGTTAGTTACTAGTGACATTTCAGAAAAAAGCGATTGTTATTTGCCACTGCCTACTATTTCAAATTCGTAATACACCACCAAAAACCAATTTACGATCTAAAGAATGAAGATAAAAACATTTGAATTACTTTAGGGATATAGACTGCATCAGTCGTACCAACCCAACCATGTCATTAACCTTAAAAACGTAAAATACAGAGATATGTAACCAAAAAGCAGCTCCGTACATTTTTTAACATTTTTATTGGAAAAATGTTGATTATTGAAGTGTAATGTGACAAAGAAGGAGGAATCAGGTGTAAAAGTAACCTAGTGAATAGATGCTTGTGTTTTTAAATAGTTTATTTTGTGAAAAAGAAGGCTGAAAAGTTGTCCTTTTCAGAACTTTGAAGGGCCGTAACTCTGTAGATAAGGGAGAGCGCCGCTTTTTTCTTTCGGTTTCGTAAGTTAGAGCGCCGCTTTTTTCTTTCGGATTCGTAATCTACGCATCAAAATATGTAAGTTCACGCAAAAATTTTTTCAAAATCGCCGGGTGTCTTCAAAACGAAAATTTACCCTGCTGAATACGAAAATAACCTGGCAACACTGACCGTGTTAGTATGAGCTGATTTTATGACTCTCTAAACAATATAAAAAAAATTAATATAACTCAGCTAATGACTTACTGCGCTGACCCGCGATGTGGAATGATAGGAAAACACTTCCCGAAACACTTTATTAACTTTTCAATATTGGCAATAAATCTCAACTTAATACCAAATATGTGCACTCGATCGATGCTCTATTCAAACTGATCCAGTCACCTTTTGATTATCCAACCAACCTTTCCATGAATCATCCCTATGCGGTTGTGTCGGTACGCTGCCACACTTACCACATTATTTAATTTAAGATGGAACGAAGTTCGCCAGGCCAATTACTATTAGTAAAATATGTAAATATTTCTTCACTTTTGAGTGTTGGAAATTGGATACATTACTCTGTGATTTTCCCTGATTTTTTATCAATTATTATTTTTCCTGACTATTCCTGGTCCTTTACTGAAAAACACTAATGCTCTTTAATTTTCTCATATATTATACGTTTCTTTCAGATGACAGTTTGGATGAGTACTTGACAACAACGGAATCTCCAGGAATGGGTTATAATATCAAGGTTAAATTAGTAGATTTAGGAGAGAACTTCCAAGTACCAACGCAGGGTTCATTACAATATGAAGATCTATCTAATTCAATTTTGAACAACTTCCAACCAGTTTTTAGAAAACTGCCCGGATACAGACGAGTAGTTGTGGACACGATCAGTCCGTGAGTAATAAATAATGTTATATTATTCACAACAAATATTTGTAAAACAACAGAAGAGATGATGAGGATTTGATTTTTCAGGGAAAACAACGAAATAATAGCAACAATGAATTTACAATTGGAAAGACCGATCCAAGAGAAAGGTAGATCACTGGCGGACGATGCCAACGAAATGGAGGACCGGGTTCACAAACTGGTGGAAGAAAGTGTGGGAACAGGCAAAGTTGGAAATCTCAGAGTCGATCCCCAATATTTAGTTTTTGAGGCCCAAAGTTGTGAGTTTCAGTTTTATCAACATATTTACCCATTTCTGAAATGGAAAATTAGATACTTCAAAGTTGAAAAGAAATAGCAATAAAATAACGAGTTATTAGCATAAAAGACTTTTTTCAGAATGGGAGTTTTGTAGAGCAGTATATTTTTGAATGTCTCAATGTGTAGAACACAACAAACCAATCCTTTGAATCAAATTTTTATATTTTTCAGATTATGGCAGGTGATAAAAGATACAGTACTTTAAATTGAATTACGTAAGATTTTTTTGCGATTTTTGGTTGATCTTCCATAAAACGCTTATTAATTAACATGTGATGAATAAATATATTACTGGAGTTTTTTCCCAACACCAAATCGTTATTTTCACACCTCGACACGTGTTTCGATCGTAAAAATAACGATTTGGTGTTGGGAAAAAACTCCAGTAATATTCATTACTACACCAAAGGTTCCAAACAGTACATCATATGTGATGAATATTCACAATGACGATAATTTTGTTGTATGTACTTATTTATTCATTTATCTCTATTGTTCTAAATACTTTGATAAGCTACATGCACATTTTTGTATCTTGAATGGTCATTAAACATTGTTATAATTATTTCGTAACCCTATTTCTAATTTGAATATAACTGCTTATATACTATTTTGACATTGGCACTGTCGAATATTACTGGAGTTTTATCTCAACACCAAACCGTTATTTTAACACCTGGACACATATTTCGATCACCAAGTGATCATCTTCAAGAATATTAAACTGTTTAATCTTCCTATCGAAGATGATCACTTGGTGATTGAAACACGTGTCAAGGTGTTAAAATAACGGTTTAGTGTTGGGATATAACTCTAGTAATATTCATCTACACCAAAGGTTCCAAACAGTGCATCACAAGTACATTGGCACAGTTGTCAAAAATAGAGTTGACCATTAATTTGTATAACTTGTTTGTTACTAATCTTTTTATCGATCTTGTGAAAAAAATTATGAATTTCATTAAAAATTATCTGTTGCTTCAGTGACGTCCAACATTAATCTCGAAGCTCCAAGTACTCTTGAAGGCAGCTTTTTCAATCTCTCCGAAGCCAAATTGTACATCGTGTTGGGATGTATCGCCGCCCTTGTCTTGGTAGCCATTATCCAAGCTAGCTGCACCATCTACAAAGCCAGTTCCACAACTTCTTCTAAGCATAAGGTAACATCACTGTGAACCCCATTCTTGGCTAGTGTGCCAGCTCCGCATGAATAATTTAATTTGATAGTAATCTCCACCACATTTGAGGTTTTGTAATTCATATTACATCAAGGTCTCCTCTTTCAACTTGCGTTTCCTAGTCATAGTTGGAGTAATAATAATTAAATCTGATAATCAATTCTACCACTTGCCGATAATCTGGATCTGGCTTTATATAGTATTACGGAATTTTTTGAGACAGTATTCACTGATGTCTCACATCAGCTCAGTATGTTATATGTTTTATTCAATTTATTTATCTTAATACTTAGTTATAACCAATTGAAAATTAAATTAATTGATAGTCCTATATTTTATTGACAATATCATGTGAACCATGATATATCAAGTTTTATGAATGTCTACACTTTGTCGATGAGATTATTGTATCTTCAGACAATAAAGTATATTTATTATTATTATTATTCTTGAGCGATCATCGATATGGCTTTTGGAAGCAAAGATCAACAGTCGATCTTCTATCATATCATATTTGAAATAACGCGATCGAGACGAAAATAAGTGTGCTGGGACAGCACACTTATTTCAATGCCACAAAAACCCATGCATCGGTTTTCTTCAAGAATATAAATATCTCCGAGCCGGATATAATAATGTCAGGTCAGACAATTCCACTTTCTGCTTCGATAAGTTTATTGGGGGTTAAAATGGACATCGATATGTCTTGGCACAATCATGTCGCTGGAATTGCAAAAGCTCCTTCTCAATAGCTTGGAAAACTGTACACACCTCAGCAACTTTTGATACTTGCTGCTGGATTCCATCCAGAAAAGAGCCATCCGCCTGATTGGAGATGCAAACATCACTTGCAACCTTGATACTCTAGAACATCGAAGAAAGGTTGGAGAGATGTCTCTCTTCTATAGATACTTTCACGAAAAGTGTTCAAGTGACTTGGCACATTTGATTCCACCAAGAGCGGTACATATCAGAAATACACGACGGATTGTGGCTGCTCATCGTTTTGAAGTTCGACTCAGTACACCTCGAATTTCACTGTTCAAGGACTCTTTCATTTGGAGAACTGCGTTTATGTGGAATAAAATTTCTGAGAACGTTTTTCCAAATAGATTTAATCTCCAGCGATTCATATCCAAAGGGAATCACTACTTTTGCATAGGCACCGCTCTTAGAGCGCATTAATTATTCACCTGTAGTGCTTGTGTTTTGTCACAAGAAAATTGTGAGTGATTAGATAGTCACTATAACTTCACATATGCATTAATTTTAAACATTCTGCATTTTTACTGAAATCCTGTAGGATAATTGATTGATATTTAGTTCTCACACAATTGTCTGTATTCTCAGTATAGTATCAAGCCTGGCTTGAACTTTAAGTTCAATTAATTCTTGAATTTTATATGCAGGAGGTTAAAGTTGAGTCCTCCATTTTGGTGGCTTAGAGCCAAGCTTTTATGAACCTAACCTTACAATAATTGTACCTACAAATAACAGACTATTCAAATACCCACAACATTCAACCTACCCACCTTGTGCTAATTTCACTGCTTAACAAAAAAGTTCATATTTTACTTTTCACGGCTGGACCATGCTTTATTTACATTGTAGTAACTTTTTCAAAGTGAAAGTTTGGCGTATGATGTATTAAATATGTTTAAAGCAAGAAGTACTTCAAAAGTCCACCTTTTTTACTAGCTAATTCCAGTGATTTTATTTCTGAAGAAGAGAGAATTGAAACTTTCTGTGTTTTTTGTTTTGTTTGAAAATGTCCTAATAGGACGAAACTGCTTTTTTCATGATCAAGACATTTTCTACTTCCACAGGCCAGAATGCATATTCCTTCCATTTGAATTGAACAATTTTGTTAGCTTTTATTTTTATTCCTCTCTGTTTATTTATTGTGCTTGGTAGGCATTATACACTTGAAGAATTCCACCAATTTTTAGACGTTGTCTCGTGTATTTTGGGCTTTGGAAAGCTTGGCTCAATATCAACATTTGAACTTAGCTTGGCTTTCCTGATGTATGGAGAATACAGGCAATAATATTGAATCGGTTTTAAATCAAGATTTTACAAATCAATCAATAACCCTGACAAACAACATGTTTTTTTATATTATTAATTTTATACGTCTAACAATGAGAATTGTCACATAACAAAAAATTAGGGAATTCGTGGTTTTTCTTCAAAACATTCATGATGATAAAATAACATTAGAAATCATGCTTTTAACTAACCAGTTGCTTCTTGGTATCGTTAGAGGGTGTACAATGTGCAGCAAGATACTTATGATTACCATCAAGGAGACTATCGAGCAAGGAGTTTGCCCCACTGGGCACTGAAAACTACAGAAGTCTTGAGGAACTGGTAAAATATAGTCAAGCCCCAGTGGGGTGAGTTTTTATCAAAATAGATTTTTGCACGCCTGTTAATATTAAGTATGTTTTATTTCTTTTACCGATTTCAAAAAAAGTATATATTTTCCAACAAAATGAATTCAAAAGCCTAACCTACTTTCGATATTTGTATTCCACTGTCAGTGGCATGTATCGGACATCCTAATTTCAAAGAGCTAAACTTTTTTTTTCTACAACAATATACGAATATACTTATTAGCGGTTTGGAAATACGCTCTCTGAAAAAATTTCAATGGAGAAGTTAAATAAATGATGTATTAAAGGGATCAAGTTATTTATACGAGTTGGTCAACAAATAATTAACATGGCATAAAAACGTTTTCAATAGAGACTTATTTTCTTAGGATAATACATTAATTTCTCCTTCTCACTCTCAATATTTGAAAAATTAGAGAAGGAATAAAAAATTTATGAAAAATAAAAAATATATAAATAATTGGCGCAAACAAAACAAATTATTGTGATTTGGATAGAAATAATGTTGAACAAAATAAATAAAATTCAATAATATACAGCAATATCCAGTGGATTTTAATGATAGTTACCATTATTATTTGCACAAGTTATAAAATGTATAGGTTTAGTTGTTGTAGTCCAATTACAACGATACAGAATATAGTCAAAATTTTTCTAAAAAAAACTGATGTCAAAGATTCATTAACACTCCGTTTGAATGCATTTTCGTATATACTGTATATGTACTTATGAGGAGGATTTCCGTTAATAATAAATACTTTATATCATTCTTGCTCGACATTTACACTTAATACTAAAAAAATTGGAAATAGTAGCCTTGACAAAGTCTTATCAAGATTCCATATTTCAGGAGAACCTTATCCCCAACTCTGCTTGGAAAGACTATTCAGCAAATACGAACTACGCTTTCGACGCATTCGAAGCCGAAGAAAAGAAGCAAATGAACGGCAATAGTAAAGCTACTTCTCGAAATGATCACCGCGACCACCGCACCAACGAACTGGCAGCCTCAAAGGCCAACCCCCGAAATCTGCAGCGACCGCAGACCAGACCACCCAACGTCCCCAGCCACCCACCCGTAACCAACCAGGGAGACAGCAGGTCTTTGCAGAGACCGAGGGGAGCCTACCCCTCTACCAACATGGAGCGAGCGACATTTTCTCTGCCAAGAACAGTCTACGACAAAAACCATCGCAACAACGGACAAGACATGCAACCCGATTTCTACTTTATGCCTTCGCAGAGGAAGTACTCGGGAGAAGTTGTTAGGGTGTACGTGGACTACAACAATAAACCCAAGTGAATTTTTGAAAGTTTAAAGAAACTAACAGACAGTACGGTCATTGTTAGTAGGCTTGTACTGCTTATGAAATTGAGGTCTGCTGAGTTTGTTATGGTACCTTCACTTTATTGTGGAGGACAGCGCCTGAAAATTTTGAGGGAATCCAAGTGAAGCTTTTTTTTAATCTGATATCAAAGGTGCAAAAACCTTTTCTTTAATATCTTTGGAAATGTCCTCATAATGCTCGAATGTTTCATGCGATATTTTTGGATTATCTAATAATGGATGTGATTTTCAACATTTATAATAAAGACATCTGTTGAAAAAAAAAAACAGTGTTAAAAGTCTATTTTCCCATTAACCACTTGTTGCCCCCCTACAGACAACAACTCTCAAAAGTTGAAACTTGTGCTAAGGACTAACATTTGATTTTAGCTATGACAGTTGCCAAATTATTTCATTTCTTATGCTAATTATCTGTGAAATGTTGATTTCCATAAAAAAAACAGTGACTTTTTTGGATAGAATTTAATAGTAAATGTAGATAATTTCATTGTACTACTGATGTTTCAGGAAATATTGAGGAATAAGGTTTTATGTACATTCGATATCAAATTAATAAGATTTTATAAAAAATATCACTTGGCTAAAATTTATCAGCAGATGTTTATAACATGTTATAGTCCAGGAATATTCTGTGTAGGAAATACTTGTAAATCATAGCACTATGAAGTAATAAAAATACTATGATACTACTGACTATTTGGCAATTGTCACAACATAAAATATTTTGTGAATTATAGTAAACAAAATTCGAAAATCTGATTTATTGTTTGCTATTGACCTTTGTTAAAATCTATCTATTAAACGTGCAATGATTAAAAGTATTATCTAAAGTACTTCAGTTCAGTATTTAAGATACATAAAATATAATAATTATCTAGTCTCGGAATTATATTTATGCTTATCCACTTATCTAAACATTCACAAGATTATGGTTGGTCAATCCTAATGAACGAATTGCAATTCTTATATTGACCATTTAAATAATCACAAAAGAACTGGTAAAAGTCACAAAACGTAATAGTCGTGAATATTTCGGAGGAAAGTTGTTGACGATTTTGAAGATTTTCAAAAAACAATCAACTACTCTAAAATATAGATATTATTAGTAACTAAGTCGAATCAGTCAACTAAACTACAAAATAGGAAACCAAATAACATATTATTAGCATTGTATATAACACTAAATTTTATATAATACTGTTTTTGTGAGATTATATTTTCCAGATTGTATATAGACATACTAGTATATTTTAACATGTATATTGATAATTGTTTTTTTTATTTTAATAAAATTATTAAGTACTGTACTCCATTTTTTAACTAGTGAAAGAAGAAAGCATCGAAGGAAGAAACGGAAGGATAAAGGAAAATAGTTTTGGAGAAGCAAAGGATGCGTAGAGAAGAAATGAAATGCCATAATATTCAAAATATAATATTGGTAACTTGTAAATTACTATAAAAATCATATAATCACAATTATCCTTTTTTGTATAATATGATTAGCATTTGACCAATAAGTATGTCTTGGTCTCAAAAGTGGTAACAATTTCCAACACACAAAAATAATAAATAATGAAAAATATATCTCGTTTGATTAGATTCTTATGGAAATATATATTTACACACCTAAATCTGGATAGAAAAGGTTTTTGGATGGAAAATCTACTGAATAACTGAGAAACACTTCCAAAGAGTCAAACTCTTTCTATTACTTTGAACAATTAAAAAAAAGAAAATATATTCCAGAAGTATTCTATATATGAATGAAAATATCATATATAAAAAATAATCAATGTTATTCTGTTTTTACAATTGAGGAATTTGTTTAAATTTGAAAGGAAATATTTTTAGGAGTTTAGCACTCTACTTCTCCATCTATAAACAAAACATATTGAAATGATGGAGAAGTAGAAAGTCAAAAGGCTTTTTTCCCAGGAACGTTTTATTCCTTTCTAGCTAATCAGTTTGTTCAAACAGAAATAGAATTATTAAACTAAAACATTTTAAAACTAGCATTTTTAAGGAAATATTGCTTTACTTTCGACTTACAGGCCAAATTTTCTTCCATTTAATTGCTATCTATGCAATAAATAATTATATTCGTATATTTATATAAACCTAATTTAATATGAATATACACCATGTAGTATATATTCCAATGAACTGGAATTATTATGTTTCATTCAATTATCAACATTAAGCATAGTATTGATTTTGAGGATAATTATTATTAAGTTTTCAATAATCCGATATATGCCTACCCATATAATTATATACAAACACATTGAAATTAATTAATACATTCTCACTAATGTCTCAGCACCATCAATTTAACAAGTTAAAAAGCATTATCTAGTTTTAGATAATTGCATAATAATCTCAAAACAGCAAAAGTCCTTAAAATAATCTTAATATCTAATGTCTTTGGGACATTTCTTTGATATGTTTATAAAAATATANTTTCTTTGATATGTTTATAAAAAAATATACCTAAGGACCAGAATATTTTTTAACAAAATAAAGAATCATTGTAGCAGATGTTGAAACCCATCGAACAAGAGAAGGCCTCTGTAAAGGAATTATTACAAGTATTTATATATAAACCATATAAACCAAATTAATTTTTCACCATATCTATTCTTATTTCAACATTATCAAGAAGTTGAATATTTTGCCAATACAATTTTCGTTAAATGTAATAATCTCAGTTAGCAAAATTTAAATCACATCTTGCTTCAACAAAATGAAATAAATTGATTATATTACAATATTCTATTTACAGATTGTTCATAATCAACTAATCGATGTGTTATTACTGCGAAATTATAGAACCATTTGGAATGTGTAGGTCGAGATATTTGACCTGAAATAAAATTAAAATCTATTGAATAATAAACAATTTATATGAAAATTGTCAGTAGTGAATGTTTTCTCATATTTTTTTAAGTCAAAAGTCTAAATCTCTGTGTACTTCATTGGTATCTCTGGCTCCACCAGATATATATTTTATTTGAAAAATCACACTCTTCTGGCACTGCACAATGAATTTGTACAGTTACTGCCCTTTCATGTCACCTTTTTCAATTGAAAAAGTGTAAACGGAACTAAGCATACAAAAAACAGAGTGGTACAAAATCAAGTTCCACCTCTACAACAAATGTTTCATTTCATTCAGTAAATGACAGATATGTTGTGAAGAGGACATAAGTTTTGATTAAAAACTTACCGAATGGTCACATCAGGTCACTACTACCCTCTTTACAGATGTTTCCGGATCCAGCATCTCATCATCTTCAGAGAGCAATACATCACATTCTGAATCTTTCAATATATTATTCTTTTTCCTCAGAGAACGATACTTAACATGCACCTTCTGCAAAAGACTCTCCTCTGAGCTATCTCTTCTCATTTTCAAAGGATCTTTGTACATCAAGAAATTGTCAGTCACCCAAAACATTATCATCTGAAAGCAATTTCACTGTCACTATTAGTTTTACTCGGAAGGGTTCTTTCAAAGATAGATATAGCATTTTCACAAGGGAATCTAGCAGTACTCCTGACATAATTTATTTTAAAACACAAGTTGGACTGTTTGTGGTCCCTGGTTTCATCTAGTTCATCATTCTGGTTTATTTTTTGTATAATCCAAACAATATATACTTGTCACTTTTTCATTTGTCACAGAAAAATACAAAAATCTTTAGTTCCATTAGATTTTATCTTGATACAAATTCATTGTAGACTCCAGAGAATGTAATTTAAAAACACACAAACATACTTCATTGCTTATCTTTATTCTATAAAGAGACTCCGATAACTCACGATATACTGTTTCTCAGAGTAAGGATATAACCTGATAACTAGAGGGTTAGGTTGGGTTCTTACGAAATTGAATATAAAGACTGCGATGCAAAATATTATGGACAGACAAAAAGATCAATTAAAATAAGATATAAGGAACACTTAGGACACCTAAAATATGGAAGACTTGAAAAATCAGCAGTTGTCCATCATATTTTGCAACAAAACCATTCCATAGACTTCAGTTCATTAAGATTAGTTAAAGTTAATAAAAACAGACATTTAGATGCCTATAAGAGTGTGGAAATAAGTAAACATAATAATATTATGAATAACGACGGTTATTGCTAAAATAATATTTTATTAAAATCTAAAGAAATGAACTTGAAAGAATTTCAATTTTCAATTATGGAATATCATTGACTTCAGGTCGATTAACAAGATATTTATTTTTTGTGATTTTCAATTTCACCAAATATATTGATAAATTTATTAAAACAAATAAATTCCTGATATGAATGGGAATTTAGACCTAATACTCACATTTACAAAGAATGGAATGATGAGCATCACAAATGCAACTTCAACTCTGGGATTTGGTATGGGGGACAAAATGAATTTCTTCACATTCTCCCAAAAGTCTAACTGCATGAATAATGTTATCGAAATTTTCACAATAATCATCAAACATACATATAGACAACACTGAGTCATCCAGGCATTGGCAGAAGGTGGTTTTCCTGAAAAAATTGATAACATTTATGGCCATACATACCAAAATTGGTAAAAATATAAATAATAATAATATTTATTCGTTCTTTAGGATCATACATGACGACAGAACAAGTCAATAATAAAATCTAAACAAAATATAGATGTGAAAAAAAGATAAAACAGTTAAGTAAAATAATTAATTTAAATTGTGATTAAAACCATGTATCAAATGAAAAATTCAATTTAAAAATAAACAAAGAGATTAATATACGACGCTTACATTCAATCACAAATGTGATATCAATAAACACGTTGGCGAGACGGTAGCTAGACTTACCGTATTCTCCAAAGTTGATATATTCCCATCTTTTAACCCTTGCCAGGTATTGACTCAATCTTATTCCGATGAAGAGTATCAGAAGTCCCAGAGATGAATCTAATAGAAAGTTAATCAAATACCTGAAACAAAAATCTTGCTCGAGTACAAAAAAATAATTGATCATTGACAATGACATGCGGATATTACTGCTTCAATTATCAAAACCAGATATGAAAAAATTATCTCTGCAAAGCAAGCCTCTGAAATTTTATTCGCCTCTTCTTCGAAAAAAAATTCAGGATCATTTAGTGATCCATTAATCAAATTTTTACTAATATTTCAATTATTTTCGATAATGTTGATAACAAAAAAAAATGGGTCTAGAATTGGAATGAATCGCAATATCATCACCTTCATATAGAGGAATGAGTAGTGCCATTTTTAAAAATAGTAGAAGTATACCTGTAAAATAGGTCCAGTTCATTAATTTAAGTGACGTGAGTAAGGCAGAGTCAGGTAGACTTTCATATTTTCTCTTATGTCTTTAATAATTTTTTCTTCTTGCCTTCAAGATGAAAGTGCATTCTCTCTATAATTTTGTTTGCATCTAGAAACTCTGGTTCTTTTAAGGATTCACTTTTGTGTTTAAAAAAAATCTTTCACCTATTATCAATTTATGTCATTCAAGTACCACTGTGAGATTTTCACTAAAATAGAAAGAGTTCAACTGTTCACACCAGGAATATTGTATGCATCTTGTGTGACTCTACACTGGCACTTCTAATAAGTTACTATGGCAACACAATATTTTGTTATGCACTTAACCAGCCCAGGCCAACTAGATATCAATACATCCTTATAGTTACTACTATCAATAATTTCTACAACAACTAACAATACTCAGAATATTAATTAGCAATGTGTTTTCTATTTTTCTAATCACATGATCATGCTCTGCTTACTCGCCATAAGTAAGCTTACGAATGGAACCTATTAAATCTAACAGATTATATATTATTCTTAGACACTTACCAGGTACATGGATCTCCCTTATACTGGCCAGCGAGCCAAACATTCGCTAAGTGAATAGCCATGGAACCCATTCCCTGCTTGGAAGTATCATAAAACCAAATAAGCCATGACCGTCTTTCAGCTTTCGGTTCGCAAAATCTTTTAGCTGTAAAGAGAATAATTATCATCAAGAACAAATGTAAGTACAAAAAAACCACCTATGAGACAAGTAAATGCTAAACAAGCAAGAAGAACTTGAAGAAACCATCCAAACATATCTGTCAGAGCATCTTTTGAACAATGAAGACCTCCCATATTCATATCAATACACTCCTTGCATGTATTATACTACTGTTCTTGACTTCCGTTCTATTATCATTTTATTAAACACTGGGTGTTTTGTTTATCATCAGAAGTTCAGGTGTATCACTTCAGCTACGAAAATTCTCAAAATATGAAAATTATTACATTATATAGAATTTTGTTTTCATTTCTCTTCTTCTTTTTTTTGGTCCTTTTGACAAACTTCCATGACAAATGACAAACGACAACCGGCTTTTCATGATTCTATTATTAAGAAGCTACGGACGTACCGTCACTTTCCATTTGATACCTTATGGTCTAAATTAAAGAAAAAGAGGACGTGAAGATGGAGTAATATATGGACTTAAAGTTCGTTATATACGAATCCTCCCTGACTGACCTGAAAAATATTTAACAAATGAACGTCAAAAGTAGCGCTTGCATTCTAAATTTTTTGAGATCGTTTTTTGCGTATGTCAGGTATAATATGGTTGCAATTCAGCTGCGTTTTTTTGCTAAGATTCTGATTCTGGAATGACTATTCTCTATTCTAGAATTGAAGATTATTTATAGAATTGCTTGAATTGAAAAATAACTTTTGTTCACACAGGTTCTTATGGACTGGTTCTTATATATATAAATATTAATACATAGACATATAGGCAAGTACTTGAATTCAACAGAATATTTCTGATAGATTGCTTCAAGAATATATGTGTGTGCTAACTTTTCGAATGAGCCGATAATACTTTTTTCTGATTGATTCGGCCGTTACTTGATGAAGATCAATAGAAATTTCATAATAAGTTCATAAAATAACAATAGTTAATCATCGGACTCCGCATTGGGTTTAAAAACACATAGTTTGATAGATTTGTAACTCTGAACTCGACAAAGTATAAGAATAATATATCTTTGGTTTGAATAGATTACCCCAAGTTGATCATTTTGTAAATCTGAATCGTTACATGTCATCGAACTCATTGATAGAATAGCCACTTCGATATTATTTAAAAGTCAGTAGCTGCATTTTTGCTACTATTTCAATCCTGATAAAGAATATTACCATCTTTTCATGTTAAAAACGCGAAATAAAATAATATTTGTTGAAATAATTCTCAAAATTGTTTATACTGATACCGCTATCCTTAGCGTTTTTATTTTTCAATAGTAGGTTAGTATTTTTAGTAATTCTACCAATTCCAGATGAACACCAAAAAACATCAATCACGAAACAAACAAGACTGAAAAGAAAACAACAGGTATAAGATAAAAATAAATAACTGCTCTTTTAAAGTTATGAACACTTTTATTGAATTTTTAAACATGGTCTATTACCAAGGCACTGTTCATTCTTGGCCTATATTCAGAAGATGTTTGATCCATCCTGTACTACACAATGAATCACATAATTGCTAATTCTCTTGATGAATTTCCTAATGGCTCCTACCGGTAAAGAAAACCAAGCTTTCACTGGGAAAAACTAATTTACAGAGAAACTTAATGTAACAACATTATAATTTCTGTGTGGTAAACAATGTATATTTCACAAAAAATACGACTTGTAATGCCATAAACATTGACAAATTCAGGACTAGAAAACACATCATGATATTATTTCGATAGAATGATGGCAAGAAATTCAGATTGTTTAACTTGTTCAACTCATCACAAAGTACGATATTCTGAAAACTAACAGAGAAATAAAAATCATTTCTTAACGTGATCAAATCAACTTTTATCCATATTATTGAATTAAAATGAAAAGTGGTGAAAATAAATAGTTTTTGAAATAAGATACATACAAGAAAATAAAACTTGTTAATTTTTTGTTAAATGTTTTTATGAGAATATCGTTATTTTTTAAAAGCAGACTTTCCGTTCGCAAGCTACAGTAGACATGAGGCAACAAACACAAAGGTTTATTCCATCAGTGCTGAGCTTTGCTTTGTTACTATCACTCGAGTTTATTGACATAATCCGTGTATTATAATATCTACTGCAGTTGTAGAAACACCAGACATATAAAATTGCATACCACAGATGAACTCGAAAAAGTTTTGCCACGATTACTTCTAATCGTGAATGTATAATATATTGTTGTTATGGTATTAGTAGTTATAAAAATGTTTTTATAATTGTAACGTCTTTTGTGAAATTCTTTCATATCCAATTTTATTATCCTACTCATTTATATAAAATAACATTTCTATAAAAATTGTTATTCTTTATAAAAAGCGATTTCTAATAAAAGTTTTTTCCTGGTAATGCAACATTTATTTATTTTTTTTTGTTAGATGTCTCGAGGCTTTTTCATTAAAATCATAATTATTTATGTAACATGATTTTCCACAATATACTTGACATTTTTTTTGTGTTTCAAAAATACATTCACATATATTGAAGTGTATCTTTTTAATTTAGGAACCGAAGACCTGCAGATGGGTTGGTTTATAATTTATTATTGTCAATTATCAATTCAAATTCTCTGTTAGTTCAGAAGTTACACAACAAAACATAAAATCAATTCTTCTCAATCAACTAGATACAGGATAGTTCTTTCCTAAAAAAAATAAGAAAAATATTACAGACTCGGTTTTTCAACTATTCTCCTATTCCATATATTTCAGCAAACAAACCGGTTTTTTTAAGTTCGTAAAGTTAGGAAACATATATCACTGGAGATAGTTTTTGGATTATCTCAAGTGGATTGACGAATTTCCAATGAATATCATTACAATAGACAAAGACTAAAAAACTACCACTGACACAGAATTCTCAAATAAATCCTCTACTATAAATAGAAATTACACTAAATATCACATTGAAATTATTGATTCTAACGGTTACATCACTGAAAATTGGCTACTTCCTCATTTCTTCTCGTGGAAAAATCAACCAACAACAATGAAAATTCATAAAACAATAAATGGATACTCCAGTGACAGGCATCCAACATGAAAACAACTAGTTCCCCATCTATTACTTACAAATTGAATTCTCATAACAGGTTTCAATCCAAGGTGCAATTACAACTGTACATTTTCAGTGATGCACATATTAAATACAGGGTGATTTGTTGTTGCAAAAAGATTTATGTACATCTAAATACAGTTAATACAAAAAATTACATGATTCAGAATATACTGGCATCAAAGAAATTAATTTACAAAGAACTGTTCCAAATGTAACTTTGAAAAAATCATGAAACTCGACTACTTTACAAGACATATCTCATTATCTCTCAAAATTTCAATCTCTAATAAATAATTTGCTAACTCGAGGAATATATTGACTTTCCTTTGGACAATAAATCACCATGTATGTTGGAAAGACAGAACTTCATTGCAAGAGATTTCATCAACCAGCAAGACATTTCGAACTGGAGAACATTTACATTAATATTTCAAAGATGTTGGAATACACATCTTCATTAATATTATTTCTAATTATTATTTTTAGATGAAAACCAAAACAATAAAATTAGAAAATTCCAATATTTGAGAGGACGTGTGGGCACCAAATCTGTTTCTCAAACTCTAATTTTTACATTGGATGAAAAATAGAGTTTCCAGAAGTCGCTACCTCCAATCCATTACAATGAAGGTGCCGTCTTTCACAAATTTTCTATAAATTAAAATAAATAATATATTCACAAATTTCATCTAGCAATTTCTTACACAAACCCTATACAGTCCTGAAGTTTGCACGAAATTAATAATTTGTGGTTATGTAGTGCTTAGGTGAAAGTTTATTAATGTTTTTGACATTTGAAATGACTTCTTTCTCTATTTTCAGTAATACATGTATTTATTGACTCGTCTGATGAGTTTTATACTACCTCTGTATAAAGCTTCACTGATGAATAATTCTATATATCTACATAACTATAATCAGTTTTTTAGATGTATTTTATTTAAGTTTCAATAATAAATATTTCAGTTCTCAATTTTTCAGAAAATATATAATGGAATTGGCCGATACTTGATGAAAATCCATAACTAACGTATTAAAAAACACATTATTGTGAGATTTTCACTAAATAGTTTTATAAAAACAAAACGAAACGTGTTGCCTTTTTGTAAAACTGTTTAGTGAAAATCTCACAATAAAGTGTTTTTGAATACGTTTTTCATGAAACGTTGGCGATTCTCAAGGTACATTTTCATGCTTAAAAAATTTTATCAATAAAAATTTTGTTCCTAGCCACTGATTAGAAGAAAATGAGAAATTAACAGCAAAATATATAATTCATATACATTCTTGATGTCAACATAGATTCAAAACACGTTGACCATGATATCCTCTAAACTAGACAAGAAAAATGTGTGATAATCTGGAATTTATTAAAACTGCAATAGTAGGACAATAGTTGACAAAATGTCTTTCATGAGAGATGAATAATTATATCTACTGAAGGAAACACACCTAAAAAGTAACATCAGTAGAAAATTTGCATCAAAGAATTGTCTACGTCTACTGCCAAAGGAAATGCTTTGAAATGGAAAGAATATTTATTATTGTATGGATACTGGTGGTTATCAGTTCTAACATTTCAATTAACTAATTAGTAAGTGAGGAGCTAAGCTTGAATTGCTCAGTAAAATGTAATTTTTTGCAAAACTATTGGGCAGAATTTGGATATTTAAAGACTACTGAAAAAACAATTTTCAAAATGAAATTTGTTTACATTCAATTGCTTGAAGGGGAGGAGTATGTGCAATCACAAACACTAAAAAATCATCACCTTTGATGAACATTTTTGGCTACTTGTGGTTTTCTCAAATGTTCATGAAAATTTCTAAAACTGCCGATTCATTATCGAATGACCACCCTGCAACTAAATAGGAAAGGAAAGCTTCAAGAGAGCAAACTTTATCTTATAAAATAACTGTAGCCTTAATGAGAATTCAAAACAAATTTTGACAAGATAAATAGCAATCTGTGAAAGGATTTCGAAAAATATAAGTATATCACAGATATCAACCAGACCTCCTGATAGTAGAATTTCAATCATTATTCCATGATATCTTTGATTCATTTATGCAAATCTCTTATAGATTGCCATTCAAAGTTATCTTGTATCTTTCTACACTTTTATCAGCTTTCTGTATTTACATGAATAACATTTTTTTTATTATATGAAAAACAAAGGAAGTTCCAATTAAAAAAAAAACACAAATAATAATTCTTTTCATATCATAATAAATAACACATTAATAAAGTTTTTTCACATCATATTATTTAGAATAAGAATCTCTTAACATAAATTCCAATTTTCTTTTCTAGCGTGGTATATTAGAAGCATTTCTTAAAGATATTGATCAAAGTAGCAAGTATCAAGCTGAAACTCATATTTTGTAATATCAATATTTAATTACCAATGTAGATATGAAATGAACGGCATTGAGATTCAAGGATTTCTTTTTCAAAAAACTTCTAACTATCTCTCCAACATACAAAAATGTAGAATTTCCATGTGGTTAATGCTTGTGAACATATGTTTTGCTAGGTTTGAATTATGAAATAAATTGTGTGTGTGGTTTGATAGATCCTCAATATATTTTTGCTGTTGAAAATGTATGATTTCTTTCTGCCACTTATAGAGTACCTGAAAGGAAGGGGTGCAATTTTCATGGTTATGTAAAACAAAATGTTTATTTTGAATAATATTCAAAGACATTTAGTGAAGAATGAAGACTATTCCTAATTGCTGATAGACATTTGAAGGTTTTCTTTCCTGGCTTTGATGTTATATAATTACGACTTCGTGACGTCAAGACAATTTTTTCAAAAAAAAAATCAAGTAGCTCAAGACAGAGATTTTTGAAGAAAAATATGGAAACACATAAATTGGACTCTATAGATAACACAGTTCTTGTAAAAGTGTTGGTGTTGATGCAAAGACATTTATTACACTGTATGAATACAATATAAGAAAGATTAGATTTATTGCAGTATTTAAGATCAATTTATTCTAGAAAAAATTTGTAATGAATGTGTAACACGTGAAAACAAATATTTTCTCAACATTTGTTAAGAATATAACATGACTGAATTATTAGTTTCCAGTATTTTTTATAGGATGTAATATTGTAAATTGTTTCTCTTTCATTAATCACACAATCCAACCTGAAAAACTATATCGGTTGTGTTTTATTCTGTACATGAACCTTTTTTAATTAAAAAATACATAATTAAACTGGAAAGTGAAATTTCCGAATAACTTTATACCAATACCCTCTAAAACGTTAAAACGTCTCTAGTGCATTGTATTTTGAACTCAAAATTTTGATTTTTTTCCAACATTAAACAAATAATTGAAATTGAAAATTCAAAATATAACCCTTAGTTCCTTCTCTTGAGGCTAAAAGCCATCAATATTGAAGAGATATCATATAAACTTGAACCGTGCAAAACTTCAGAACCATAATCAACCATCGCAATCAAACAAGCAGACTCACATAGTGCCCACCTAAAGAGAAATCCAGCGTAAGCTCCTCTTCTGCTAGCTGGCCGCCGGCACGGAAGACTGCTGCCTGCTGTAGCCCGTGCTCGGATGGAACACCTTGTAGTAGAGCATCATGAACATGATCCCGAGTAGGAATGGGATCACGTTCAGGAATACAATGGGCAGGTAGTAGACCATCTGCTTGAGTGCGTCGTCTGCAGTGACGATCCAAATCGCGTTCGCGACGGTGTTCTCGACGAAGAGGATGCTGTAGAAGATGAGGTACTTACAACAGGTGGGCCCCTCGACGAGGATAACGTGCGTGAAGAGGTAGACCGCGCCCAGTATGCAATAGAAGAGGAAGTCGTAGAGGCTGTTGTGGTCGCAGAAGTTGTTCTTGGCGCTGGTGCACGCCAGCCAGATCGTCATCACGAACCAGTGCCCGATCAGGACGAGAATCGTCTCCGTGGGGAATTTAGCGGCGATCACGCTGATGCACAGGATGCGCGACACTGAAACGAAGGCGTTAATTTGAATCTCCTTGACACTACAAAAACAGAATTACAGAAATTTCTGTTACATTACCCCAAAAATATTCCAAATGTTAAAAATTACGATTTTACCTTCAAGTAATTCAAGGATAAGATTTTGAACATTTGATCAAATATACAATAAGAAATATATTGAAGAAGAAAGCAATACAAGTCATGAAATATTGAAACAACAACAAAAATTAATTGGCGCTCCGGGGGGGCGACTTCATTGATTCCAGTGGCGCATTTGCTTTTTCAGCTGCAAGAAAACCCGGAAAAACCTGCAGCACCACATCAAATTATTTTTCATATGTAAGATGAATAATAACGAGATTTTAAAAGAAATGCTATGCCCTTGAAATTCACACTCATCTATGGCAAAAGATGTTACTGATTTATTTTTCTTTCCAAGAAAAATTCATTTCAAAAAACCTGAAATAGGGTGGCGAAGTTACGAAATTCCTAGTCCTAAATTTGAACATCAATAATTTCACAACCGATTATTTCAAATGAATGAAACTCATTGTATAGAAAATTGAAATACTTTTCATTTCTCATATGAAATGTCACGAGACTCCTCCTTCCATTTGTAATTAAAAGGTTGATGGGGCCACGTGACGTCACACTGTTGACTATTTTATCAAAAAGTAATAAAAACTTGTTTTTCTAGCAATAGTGTGTACAGTTACAAACTTAAGGAATTTTCCTCGCATTACCACAACTCTTGAATTACTATGGTTTTACTATCAAAATATTATAAACAATTCATAATATTCTCCTCCGTTTCCTCACAGCACCATCAATATTGTTGATGAATTGATAAGGATACAAAGAAAACAAGGCTACTTAAGTTCAAATTTGATAACCCCGCTAATTTATAACTATCAGGATTACTTATTTTATCAATGAGTTGTTTACAAACTCAAAGGATTACAAAGTCTATCCAATATCATGTCGAAAACCAAAGTTCAAATATCTGTCGATATCAACAGTTGTAGATGTCACTATACAATGCTGTTGTTTCTTTTATTTGTCGATTCCTCATTTTTTTTATATTTCAAAATGTATACTGCCATTTATCTTCCTTATTTTGATTGCAGGAAACATACAAACATTAATAAGATCTAACCAAATACATTTCCACAATTCCAAATATTCAATTTTTTGCAAACCAATATATTTAGGTACCTATTGAACTTGTTCGATTGATGACCTATTTATTTTGTAGAAATTCATATTCAATATAGGATAAAAAAAACTTTGGTCTGATTTCTACTAAGAATTTTTTTTTGCTTCGGTTTGTTAAACCTATATCAATTATTAAACAAATGGGGTTAATGTTATCTTTTATCTCTGATGACAATAGTTTTAATTATCATCACAAAGAAGGTCAAAGTACGTCATATGCTTAACATTAAAGCAAATTCTATAAATATAAGGTTATCAATGTCAAATTTTATAGCAATATACTTGTTGTTTTAGGAAGTCAACTTACAAAAGCATTCCTTCAAAGGAAATTGTGAGCTATCTGAAATCTAAATTAGTATTATGAAATTTTTGTGTAATTTCACATAAATAAAGACACATTTTTGTTATACAAATTAAAAATGTGGGTATTCAAGTTGGCTAGTATGAACTTCGACTTAAAAAGAGATATAATTTTCAGGTTCATCAAATCATTTATTAGATTCAACCTAAAACAATCTTACAATTAATATTGTAATATTCTCGATTTTCAATGACTAACGAACTTTTTCAACATGTAAAATGGTTTACTAGATTTGTCTAAAAAGCCAAAATATTATAGATTATATTTATTCATGCGCTGTTGCCGGAAAACACACATCTGTTTAAACAGTGCTAAGTTAAAGTAACAAATGAAAAAAAATACTTTCAAGTTGACCAATTCGTAGACTAACCTGTAACCAAAAAATGCCACATGAACTGTACTATGGTCCCAGCCCAGGATATATTGTGTTTTGTTTTCAAGGCCACCCTTAGCAGTCTCTGGTATGACGCCATCGCCCAAGCCATACTCACGAAAGAACTGCCGATGGATAGCAGCTGATGGATCACTGAAAGTTTAAGAGAAGAGGTTGTTTCCATTGTTCAGTCGCTATGTGTTTTGTGAAAAATAAATAACTACATACCACTGCCATAATTTCAAACACAGACTTACATGTAAAAGTGTCATTATACATGTCTTTGCCGTGATTGTAAAATATAATCCCCAACTGCAGAATCAATTGGGGGGCAGCTTCCAAAAAACACTCCAGAACCCTCAGCAGAGCCACGTCTGAATCTTCCTTCACCATCAACTCGTAATACTTCCTCTGGTTCTCTACGTCTTTGTTCTTCTCGGCTTTCTTTGACTTGATAGCGTACTGCAATGCATCAAAATACCTCAAAATCGGAGCAAGTTGGAACAGTAGGACTATTATACAACACAGTTTTCTCTTGGTGAACCTTTTGGTTAGGGTGGTACTTCTGTTCAAGTTATCCGTGTCCAACACGTACATCCTCAGACTAAACACAGTGCTTATGAGAGCGGGAATCATGATAAAGGCAAGAGTGGTAACGAAATAATTCGTTTGAGTAGCAGCGTAATATCTGTAGGCCACATTACAGTCGAAAAACACATCAGCCGTGTGGCTGACTATGGAGAAGATGAATCCAGCTATATCCAGATTGGTAGCCCTATCTTTTGAAGGTATTCGATCGACTTCGTCCCTTTCTGAGTCACACATTTTGGTTTGATATAATATGGTCATATTTGGCTAGAATGTGTTGTGTAAAAAAAACTGTTGGCACTGTTGGAATTTCACGTAACTATCAGATTCATTTCTGTTATATACTCTTCAAGATGGAAACTGTCTCTTGTATGTTTGGCACTACTTCTCATTTATAAGTTTTATTAAAAATAAAACATCGGGAAAACTCTTCCACGAACATTGATACACTTTCAAAACATCACATCATCGGTTTATTCTACAAAATGGAGTTATGAATCGTGTAATGAATCATCTGAGGATTCACAGGAAGAATGAAAGAAATGAATAATGTATCAAAGTATATAAAAATAAACTTTTGTTACGGCTGACAGCAGCTGTCAAAATACGAATGTTCAAATTTCCACGTCTGCCAATGCCATTACTTACTCATGGCCGACAAATTAGCAGAATCAAATTTCCCATGTTTGACGTAAAGCACAGAACACTATGTTCAAGTAGGCGACAAATAGAAGTCTAGTTTTCAAGCTTTCAAAATCCATATTTGGGGATTAATTGGGGTAGCAAATTTCCTATCATTTAAAATAACTAAATATAATGAGCCTCGTTTAAATTTTCATGTTCTCCGATTTTAATTGAAAATGGCAATTATTAAATGAGAAAATTAATGTAAATTTTCGCAATTATAGGAAAGTGAATGTTCATATAAGAATAGCACTTTTTGACAAAGGAAATGTAAATATTCACTTATTTTCGTTACAATCCCTAACTTCAGTTTGAAATAAAAATGACAAGAATGAATTACAAATATTTTTATTTATATCATAAAAATAATCATAAATTATCAATACACAGACAGATTGAATCGCATCATTCAACAAATAATGAACTAATTGTTTTTGGCAATATGTACACTTTTCCTAAGTATTATACACTAAACACAACACAACAACAAATGTAATATAAAATTAGTTTCAATAGAATGGAATGTTGCCAAATATGTACAATCCCTAATTATTTATTTTCAATGTTCTAAAGAAATTTCGTGGCACCAGACTCTGTAACTGAATTTGCTAAAATAATAGTAATCACAGACAAATATTATAAATCAACGAAAAATAAAACAAATGTCACTGGCGGTAGATTTAAACATACCGATATATATTTGTAAATATATATAGTTTCTCAAATGTATTGCCCTTGTTCTGGAAAACACTCAAATTTTGATTATTGACGTTCGCTAAATATTAATATTGCATAATTTCTAATGCAGCTCGATTTGATTTGGAAAAACTTCTTCCCCAGTACAGAGCGTCTCGACAATTCTGAGACACTTTGCATACTATCAGTCGCTTTGTAGTGCTCAATCAATAGATCGCCGGAAAGACCGTTTCGTGGCATATAAATTGATCGTAAGATTTCAAAAAAGAATCCAGCGCCATCTATTGACCGTTTGCTACATGGTCGGAGTCCCAACCACAACAATAATGCGGAGCCTCGACTTTCTTCCTTCGTGAGTAGCTTCAGAGGTAGCTTCTATGTTTTGGAATGAACCGGCATTCCGCGTCAAATATGACACTTTTTTGAATAATAATTTGTACTTATCGATATATTGTATGTAATATAACAGGAAGCATTTACCCTGCGACAGAGAAAAGCACAAGTTGGAATAAAGGGTCGGTAAGTGCTTTTCCAGGTCGGCTCGTAAGTATATTTACATAAATACTATACAATTAACAATCTTTGGTTAAAAAACAAAAACAATAAAAATACAAAAATGAACCAACAAAATCCATCACTTAAAGTAGATAAGACAACAACACATCCTCAAGTATTGCATATAACCAAATTAGAAAAACTCTTTTACCAAAAAAGTTGAATAGAAATTGTGTCCTGGGAATTAGTTTGGCAAGAAGAATGGTTGATGTAAAGAGAGGCACAAAACAAGGAAACAAGTGAGATATTGATCAAAAGACAGGATCATATTTGAAAAGTGGAGGGTCGTGAAAACTTTAAATTTGTATCAAAAACTGTAAATTCAAAACACTAACATTGATTGCCCTTTTGAAAGTTTTGTAAATGTTTGAATTTTCACTTTGATCTGAATAACTTCCTTTTCCAATTAACCCGACTTTCCACTAATTTCCAAGTCTTCCTTCTTGTATTTCTTTCGAGGACATGTCGTTCCCTTTTGAAACCTTACGAAATACCTCGCTCAAGGATAAAATAATACTTAAACAAATTGTCATCGTCGACATGAGATCTAATACAATTCTCAAAAACTTCCTCCTATCTAAGACTTACTCTAAATAATTACAAAATATACATACACAAAGTGTTACGAACCTCTCTTTCAGTATGAAAGTTCAAGAATTGCATCAAAACGTTAAAAATCAGTCTGGTAAGGAAAACAATAAATAGTATTTAGTACACGTGACACCGACAGACACCGTCTTTGTCAGGTCACTTTTTGTCCTTTTCGAGTTAAGCCGCAGGTCGTCTCAAATGACATTTTTTACTTTATCTTTTCTATCCAAATAAATGTTTCCTCTGTCACAACACTCATTGGAGAAAGAAACACGAAAAGGGTGCAGATTGTTTTTAATTCAGGTGTAAATCATTTGTATTGCAATTATTAAATCATGTTAATCTCATCTTATATTACAGAGTTTTGTTTTCATGTGCTATTATTATTAATCAAAATCTATTTTCACTTCTTGAAGATTTCAAACAATTTTTGGATACTTCATTATTTATCAAAACATAAACATTTTTTATAAATTAATAACAAAACATTTTTATATCAATATTGTCGATTACGAACATTTTGAAAATGCTAAATATATTCTTGGAACATAATTACATTTGTAGTCTCATTTTTGTGTTTTCTCTTACATTTTTTCGATCTGCTTTTCTGTTCCTATCTATTGCACCCAAATCACTTGCTTTTTTTAAAACTTTTCTGTGTCTTTTTGTTTATTATAGCTTTTTATCTATCGTTTTATTTTTTCTTCGCATCACTTTTTTCATATTCTATTTAGAATTTTCATATTTGCCCATTTCTCTCAATTACGTCATGTCACATATATTTTCAATAGCAGAATGATTGTATTTGCAGCAAAAATAAAACTTCAATTCGATTTGACAACTCAAAAATAAGAGGGTGTGTTTTATCAACTTTTTATATGATGATTTGATTCAAAGCTTCATTTATCTTATTGATTTAAATTGAAGCATTATGAATACTATGATTTGGGAAATGAAAAAAGTTTTTGTTTAAAGATGGAGAAGTAAAAAATCAAAAAGTTTTTCCCAAAAACTAATCTCTGCTAAAGATTCTTCTTTTTGGGACAGGACAGTTTTTTCCTAGTAAAACTACCAGAAGTTCCATAATAACAAAAAAGTTTTGCATTTTCAATATTTTACAAGTCGCAGCAACACTCGAAAAGGGCAAAAAGTCCTCGTCAGGTCCTCTCACCGTCTGCGAGCGAGGGGGGCGCACCAGCATCCCGGCTAGATGCACCTCCTCCTGGTCGCCGCGTATCAGCCGAATCTTTCCTTGACAAGGAACATGAGCTTCTTCTTGCCTTTGTAGGCGACCTTCATGTTCTCGATCAGTTGCGAGAACTGGCCGTGTCCGTCGTGCGCCAGTACGAACGTGTCTCGCGCCTTCGTCAGGAAGTCGATGAAGTCTCCGTAGTGTCTCGGCGAGATGTGAGTGAGGCGCGAGTGCGTCGTGTTGATGTACGCCGCGACGGCCGCCTCGAGCAGCTGGCGCAAAGGAGGGCGGTCGTACGAGAGCGGCTTGACGCCCCCGGTAGCGCACCGAGCTCGGTGCGGGTGCGGCGCATGCTGCTTGTCCAGGGGCGGAGGGGGCGGCGGGTGCGGGCACGAGATTCCGGGCGCCGTCATGCTACACCGGCGCAAGATATCGGAGAGAACGGTTGCGCACTGGACGTTCTTCACCAGCAAAGGGATCATATTGGACAGCTCCGTCTTGCCGAGGGAATGGCTCAAGGCGCATGCCCAGTGAATGTCATTTATCGCCGGATGGGTGTCCTGAAACAAAAACATATGACCTTCCATCAATAATTCATTCAAAAATATATCAACCATTTTTTTCAACTATTCAACGAGTAGTGTTTCCCTATATAGTTGGGATTGGACTAACTATTCAACGAATTCTGAAAATTCCTATGATTTACAGTTCTATCAGATAATTCATTCTAGTCTAGTTTTAACGACCTGAAAAGAGGGAGTTATAATCAACTCAATTCGATTGTTCATTAAAAGTTGAGAATTTTTGTACTTTTGATTTCCATACATTATTCTGGAAATGAAGAATTTTGAATTCATGATTGATCACATGTGTCCTAAAAGGTGGTAAGTAGCACTTTTCTATTCAGGAAACTGTTTCTGTGTTCTTTTAAGCGTGTTTAAAATATGTTTCAGTTTGACCTATGTTAAACATCAACGTTGTTTTATTAACGTTATATTTAACCTTCATTTTTTTAAGAAATTATAAATCATCAAACTAAGTCGGCCGAAATCTGTTAATGGCCAATAATTTTTTCTTTTTCTCTTGGAACCGGGAGGGGAATTTTCATTATGACTTTACCATTATTAAGGTTATCAAAAGCTATAGATAAGTCTAAAAATATATCAATAGTCATATTCGCATTTTCATTTCCTCAACTGTAGTCATAGACTAGAGTTTCTGTGGATTTTAATACCTCTGTTGTGAGTGGTTCGGTAATTCATACCAAGTGCTCACATATAACTCATACATACATAGAGAGAAAAATAAAAAATGAGTTGTATATAAACAATTACCTGATTGTAGGCGAGATGGACGTTTTTCATGGCAAGCATGGCTAACTTATAGGCCCTGGTGGGGTAGCCCCGGTGTTCCATGTATCGTGCGATCGTGAACAGCTGAGAAGAAGTCATGATGTGAGACGCCGCATCTACAACAATCTGGTAGGCCGTTTCGAAGGCCAATGCTTCGTTCTCGCACAATGTTAGGGCATTCAAGGCACAATTTGGGGGATCCTTTAAAATACATGGAATATTTTTCAAATACCGACAAATTAGAACAAAAGTAATTATTTAATTCATTAACAAAAAAATATAAGTAGGAAGCTCAGAAAACTAGATGAATCGCATGATAATAATTATGGAATATTCACAATTAATTTTGTTTTTCAAATTTGTTGTGAAAATTCTATAATTATTATCATGGACAGTGTTATTGATTTTCATCAAGAAACGAGTCAGAATATTCATAATATAAAGACAAAATAGGTTAGAAAAAGAAAAGAAAGGAGCCTAACCTAACCAAAGAGAACAAATGGAATCTCACCTTAGTTGCACACTGCAAGGCCAGCGTCCTCGCGCAACTGGACAGTTCTTCCTGCTGGGCAAAGTTGAGATTGAGTCTCATGATAGTGCTGTGGTTCATGATCGTTGTCGCTACGGGCCCCGTCGCCTCAGTCGCCGTGAAGAACTGGTACCAGTTCTGCATTATGGACATGAGGGCGTCCACCCCTACTTCAGTGGCACACGTCACCAGCCACCTAACCATCTCCCTTCTCCTCCAGTTCAGCGAGGAAAGCGTCATTCTCATAACTTGTAACCCCAACTCAAAGGCTACGCTCAATAGTGTTGGGTGTCTGGGACCATTTTCTGGCGTTGCGAAACGAAAGGCATCCTGTGCCAGCTTGAACAAATGGGAAGAGCTGTGGATGTGCCTCTGCGATGACTCCAGGACAGTTCTCAATCTCATGACTTCACCTAAAAAGTATTTCTTCTTATCAAAATGTAATCAATTACTATTTTCATCAACTAGACAAGATATTTATTTAAACAGAAGCCCTGGAATTTAACACATTCGATCTTTTATATTATTTGAAGTACTTTCTGTACTTGATATACTTTAGGTATATTTAAGTAGATATATTTGTCAGTGACAGAAGTAATCCAAGTACTATTTTGATTCGATTTCCTTCCAGAAGTATACTAAAGAAAAAACTACCTTTACCTTTGGCAGCACTCAACATGGTGGAACTGAGAGCGCACTGCTGCGTCTCAATGTGGCCCAGAGTAAACCACCGTGGAGATCTACTCATCATGAGCGAGCTGCTGGCGTTTCCGCCTAAAGGGTCGTCCGAATCTTCGTGCTCCTCCAACAGGGGCAGCCTCATCGCCCTCAAACCAACTTCATAGGCTAGATCGGGGTAGTAGTTTAGCAGTGACAGGAACATGAACCGGGCGAAAGTGTGCATTGGGATGCTTTCCGGGTGGATGCCGATGCCCAGACCACTGGTAGGTCCACCTTCCAACAGGATGATGGCCTGCCGCCTCAGAACTGCCACCAAGCTATTGTCTAATTCGATCTCTTGCAGTTTTGCTATGAGACGGTCTTCTTGCTTGCAAGCTTTCTCCTGAAAAGTAAAGAGTTAAATGGAGGTTCCACAGAGTTCAGTCTTGGAGACAATAACATATTTCGTGTATACACCATAATAAATGAATACCTGAGCATAAAGTCCAACTGGCATGACTCTTTGCTGACCCAAACCGATCAGCGCCACTTCGAAAGCGAGTGTCAGATATGTTTCCGACCTGTCACGGGATCCTACAACAGGTACGTGGTGATATCGTGGTCTGATATTGTTGTGTTGGTCCTCCATGCCTACCAAGTCTGAAAGTAAAGAAGAGTCAGAGGGTACAATTTTCGACACACTCCTTCCAAACTTCAATGGGGAAGATCCGTCAAATAAACACATCCCACTGAAACTTACCCAAGTAACTCGGCGTTCTAGGCCTGTCGTGGTCCGGAATGGCCGACGCGTCTGCCAGAGTGTCGAACAGACATCCGATGGGGTCCAAGGGGTGTCCCACCCAGCCGTCCAGGTTAGTGGGGGCGTTCACCGATGTCGTTGAACAGGAATTAACGTTGCACTGTCCCTGGCATCGCGACGTGCACGCCGTCATTTTGCAAGTGGACTGGCTCTTGCTGGTGCCGCCTACACTGCTGCTACTGCTGCTTCCGGAGGTGGAGGCGGTACTCTGCTGCTGACTCTCGTGCCACTTACGCTGCGCCACAAGCTGCTGCTGCTTCATGGTACGGACAACGGATACGGCGAGTCGCAAAGCCGCCTCCATATGACCATGGGAGCGGAGAGAGTCGACTCGGGCAGCACATAACGGAATTGATTCTAAAAAATGAAATAAAAATAAGGTGATGACCGGTAAAAATCTGGCTACTTCAAGGATCAATTCATGATGGATCAATCATGATGATCAATCATGATGGAGATATTGCTTGTTAACTAAAATCAGAGACACCCAGTATAGATCAAGAGAAAGTTACGAATAAATTGGTGTAATTCCACTCACCATTCCACAGAGGCTGCCCTTGAGAATTAAAACTACCAGAACTGGAAGTATCAGGAACATGAGAACAGTAAGTATCACTAGACAGAATATTCTTGAGGTGCATATTGTCCCAAGACATGCTAACAGCATCCAAAGCTCTGCAAGAATAGAATAGAAAATTATTCATCTTTGAAAATTCTGAAATCATTACATGCAAATACATAATTTTAACAGACTAGTCATAATGAAGATATACATTGAAAATATATATGTACGCAGATTGAATATTAAATAAAATTCATTTTTCAGAAATGTATAAATTCCTTAGCAGACTGAAAAGTATTTGCTAATTGATAATTTAGTATAGCTCTTGTCACTCATTATAAGTTCCTAGATTTACAAATATTTTTTTGATTTGTCACGGTAAATGATACCTCAATAACCTGCCCTAGGAGCTAATTATTTGATTCATATAAATATTCGCATAGTTCTTTACCTATGAAATATAGATCTAGGTAACGCAGGCGTATGTGACTTAGCAGTACTCCCCGTCAATCTCATTCGCTTACTACTCCTATGTGAGTACGAATCGTCGTCATCGTCAGAACTGTCAGATGAGTCATACGCTGCTCGATTCCTGTCTCTTTCTCTCTCTCTGTCTCGATCCCTCCTGTCCCTGCGGTCCCTCTCTCTATCGGCGTATCTGTCTCTGTCTCTGTACCTTTCGTCGTACCTGTCGCGATCTCTATCCCGGTTCGAGTACTGAAAACAACAAAATACATAGCCCCGCGTTCTTTGAATCGATAGCTAAGACATCATCGAGTTTGTCCAACCTTACCGAATCTCTGGATCCTTGCTGCAACCTAAAATCTGGGTCTTCTGGTGGACACACGTCGATGATTGTCCATTTTTCTAGCAGGGCTTTCCACTGATGCTTTTCGTGCAGGTTGCAATTAGGGTTCAGCACGATGCAGACCCACAGGGAGCCGAGTTGGTCCCACAGCTGGCGACACTTATCGGTCATTGGCGTGCCTTGGTTTCGCCACATCTGCAGCCTCGGGTCTGATAGGAACTGTTCAGTTATGAGAGTCAACATTCGGGCTCCGTTCGAGTCCTGCGCTCTAAGCATTTCTCTCACCTGTTAAAAAAATATTTCCATTGTTTTTTTCACTGACTTCGAGAACAAGGTTATATTTTTGGAATTACAATTGTGTAGATTTAGTTTTTGGACCACTATCTGTATGTCACACAATCAATACAAAAAGTAGAATATTATGGCTAATAATAAATAACATAATACTAATTTAATATGATAAAATACCAATGAATCCAGACTCAACAACTTTTTTAGTTCTCTGGCTGGAATATATTAGCATTACACATAATTTTACCTTGAAATAGACGGATATAAAAAAACTGAGGTAAGTTATGGAAGACATGCAGTACAAGAAAACTTCTGGAGTGATGATATGTCTCCAAAAATATATGAAAATCTGAGCTACTCTGTTTTAATCACGACTCATCAATCAATAATTTTCTTAGTGAAGTGGTTTTCAATAAAAAAGGGGTGATTTATTATATTCTTTTCTGCAACAAATATCAACTACCGTCGAAATACGGTAAATATGACGGTAACTTACTTTTGAAAACAGCGAATTCAGCTGCTTGTTGGCATTGTAGTATGCGCCCTGAGACAGATAGCTTTTGACTTGTTCGCAGACTTGCTCTTCGTCCAAGTGCCAAGAGTGTTCATCGTCTGCCGATGCCCCCGCTGTTGGGTCGGGGGCCCCGGGTATCTGATTGATTTCGGAACGTTGTTGCAGTATCTCGTCCGCCAACTTTTGGGCAGTCGGCAACACCTCCGTGTGGTGTTCTGAGATCAGGTACTGGACGAACTTCTGGAGCTGTTGTCTGTCCATTTGGAGAAGGGTTTCTGAGAAGGAAGAAAGAATCCTGAATATCTAGAATCGAAGAGTTTGTAAAGAACTAGTTTGTTGAAGCGAAACATACTGAAATGAGTGTTATAAAGTTCATCAATAAAGTTATCATCACTCAAAAATACATCTTACAGCAGTAACCATTAAAGCTCTTAATGTTTAAAACTTTTAAAAACATCATATTTCAAATTCTTATATTTTTGAACAATAGAAATGCCAATTTGGTCACGCTTCACTCTAAATTTGTTATATTAATGTAAATAAGAGATCTATCAAAATAAATATCATTTCATTCGTAGAGAAAATAAAAACTTGGGTTTTTGGTTTGACACTGATTTGAAATTTCAAAAGGACGTCAACAATCTGTGCAGAAATTTTTTCAGCACGCTGTGGCATGTAAGACCCTAAATAGTTGACACTTGATGTCAACAAAGTTAGAATTGAACCTCTGTGAGTCCCTTATACTTTCTAGATTACTGTAACTGTATATAAAGACCTGCTCTTCTACAAAATGATATAAATTCAAGGAATACAAAATAGTTGCAATAGATTTGCTAATGGCATTCTGAAATACGAATGTATAAGCTTTTTTTCAGATTTTGGATGGTTTGTTTTGAAATGTAAAATTTTTTATTGGACATTCTGACAATTTTCACCTTCCACACAATAAAAAAAAGTAATACAAATTTTTGTACAGGTAAGGTCAACGATATCTTACCTTGCGAAGTCGCCATCTATGGGATCGACAGAGAACTCAATCCTCGGATATCAAAGAAAAACCAATGAGTTTTCTGTCGATCTCATAGATAGCGTTTATTATATATTTAGGCTTGTATTTCGAGGACAGTCGAGTCCAACAACGCATTTGTGGTTCAGCCTAGCACCACTGATGAGATCTATGGCGGGTGAAAATAGCGTTGTTTGGTGTTGAATCATAAATGCAATGTGTTTGGGCTCTTTTCATAGTGAAGATGATGAAAATCAACAGGAAGCACATAAAAAAATTTTAGGCATACTTACCACTGAAATGATTGCTCAAAGTTTATTTTCTCTGCTGCTGCTATTCAAGTCGGGGTATTTCAAGACTGTATACTTGAACCATTCTGCAGACCTAACCTTGGTGAGGTATCTTGCATAAAAATCTGTCGGATATACTTCAATTCCAGCGTCGTATTAGCCGGGAAAGCAGTTGTTTTCCGGTAGGCATTTACCTACTGTGTATGTACGTTGGAAGAGGTGAATGTTTCGGGATTTTATTTCAAAATATTCACTTTCTAATTGGTGGTTGTAATTTTTTATTTCTTGATTAGTATGATGAAGTAATTTTCAATCATCCATACACAAATAAGTTTATTCTTTTGAAAAAAGTAATTTATTATATGATATGGAATTGACAGATACTCGAAAATCCATGAAGTAATCAAGTAAAACTTTAGTGTGAGATTTTTTACAAAAACGAAACACTTGTTCATACAGTATGAAACCGCCTGAGTAAAGACACGCCCGAAGAAGCCATTGTATGGCGAAACACGTGTTGCGTTTTTGTAAAACTTTTTAGTGAAAATATCATAATAAAGTGTTTTTGAATACGTTAGTTATGGATTTTCATCTAATATCGGCCAATTCCATCATATGCCTGAGGAAGCTATTGTATAGCGAAACATAGGTTGCGGTTTTGTAAACTGTTCAGTGAAAATCTCTTTTTAAAAAATAGTTAACGTTTTTGACATAAATGTTTTGGATAAGTTGGAATTCCTTTTATTCAACAACACAGAGGCTTTCATTAATTTCAAAGCAAGAGTTTTCAATCTACAAACATCTAATTTCCATAAAAAAAAACATTTAATGAAAAACAGAGTTTATTCAATAAAGACAAGAACGAATATTGTACTGAATAAAAAAATAAATTATACTGTATGTACAAACGATTGAAGACAATAAAAAATACCTCACGAAATGTGCAACACCGGCAACAACCCCAACCCTCCACCTTTGGCGCTGCTTCCTGAAGCCTTCCCTTTCGCAGCCTTCTTGGCCCCTGCTCCGGCCCCTTTCTTTGGGCTACCCCTCTTCTTCATTCGCGGGGTCGTCGGTTTGCGTGAAGCCCTTGGTTTCCGCTTGTACCCCGACCTGAAGCGCTTTGCCCCTCTCATGGAACCGCTGCTGCCACTCGACTTCCTTTTGATGCCACCAGTCTGCGAGCTCGGTACGCACCAGTCATCTTCGTCCTCAAACGAACTGAAGCTTGGTGTTTCAGGAATCTTCGCGGCCGTCTCCAGGACGTCGATTTGCTCCCTGAATTTCTTTGTGATCGCTAGGAAAAATTCACCAAACTTTTTGTAATTGGCCGTGGTTACGTGCTGGATCTTGAGGAACTCCTCTTTGGTCTTGGGCAGCACCTCCGACATAGTTTTAATCGCGGAGAGGTTCATGATCGATGACAAGGTGACGTTGCGCTCCAGGGCCAGGCGCCGGCACTCCTCTAGGAGATCCTCGTGGCACTGGACTCTGAGGGCGGCGACTTTCTGTTTGTTGAACTTGACCAATGTGGCCTTCTTTGCCACGGGGAGCGGTTTGGATGGACCCGGCTTCTCCAAAGGTCTCGGCTCCTCTTCTATCTCAGAATAACTCACGTCTTTATCGACGATTGGCTTCTCGCTGGTCTTGCTCACTGATAACACCATTTTCAGGTTGGGTGCCTTCAAGGTTCCGAACTTGGGCCCCGGTTTGATGTATACCACGGGAAACTCGCCTGTGTAGACGACGTGGTCTGAGAGGATGCTCTTCAATATCAGATCCTTCAGAATGCGCTGTACGTCCATCCTGTCCATCCTAGCGCCGAGTCCAAAGCACTTGTGCTTGTCGTGGCCCTTCTCGAGGATTTTCTTAGCCTTGGAGCCCTTGTAGACATCTGCGGCGTGCAGCAGTGTGACGTTTCCTTGGTTGGCTAGATCATCTACGAGCTTTCCCAGGTCACGCGCCTCTTTTGTAACGTCGACGATTTTATGCTTATTGACGTTCTCGCAATTGTCGCAGGTGGTGGCGCTGTTGCTGATGCAGATCTGCCGGTTGAAGTTCTCGCCGAGATGCAGCAGCTGGATGTACCTGCGGCAGTCCACTACGTTCTCTGCGTACGACACCATCTGCTTGAGGTTGTCAAAGTGGCCCTCCAATGTCTTCCAGTTGGTATTCTTTTCCAACTTCAAGATCTTCTGCAAGCGTTGCGAGTCAGAGTAGTTGTAATAGAGATAGGAGTAAGAAATCTCTCCGTCTCTACCGGCACGTCCGCTCTCCTGGTAAAAAGCCTCGATAGACTTGGGTATCGAGTTATGGATGACAAAGCGAACATCGGGCTTGTCGATTCCCATCCCAAACGCTATAGTAGCAACTATAACGAAGAACCTGTCTTGCATCCATTCTCTTTGAATGGCCTCCCTGATGTTGTTCGGTAACCCGGCGTGGTACGGCCTCGTCTTAACACCCTCCTTGTTTAGGTAGTTGGCCAGGGTCTCGCAGTCCTTTCTCGCGAGGCAGTATATTATCCCAGACTTTTTGAAGAACTTTTGTTTTATCAGCTTGGTGATATCCTCAGCGGCGAATTTGCCTTTCTTTGGTATCACCTGGTACTTAATGTTCGGCCTGTTGAAGCTCATGATGAACCTCTTTACGTTCCTCAGTTTCAGAATGTTGATCACGTCAGTTTCTACTTGTTTAGTCGCAGTAGCCGTCAGGCACATTATGGGAACATCAGGAAAATCCCTGCGTAGCAGAAAGAGCTGCTTGTAGTCTGGCCTGAAGTCGTGACCCCACTGAGACAGGCAGTGGGCTTCATCGATGACAAACCTAAGATAGAAAAAAAAACTTTTTTTTTCACTTGAAACAATAATGGCAATGTGTCTACCACAATATCAAAAAGTTCATATCAATGAACAATGAAAAATAATTAGATTTTCAGAAGATTTCTAGAAGAATTCATTTATCTAACTACGTAATTACTGTAATATAAAAGACATTGTAGATTAGTTTGATGTACCAGTTCAACTGATGAAGTTACAATGTAGCAAAACACGTCTTGAATAAAATTCATTCTGATAATTTCATAATTATTATCATGGATAAAGTTATTAATTTTAAATCAAGTAACAAGTCAGTGTTTTCATAATTTGAATAGGAAAAAAAAGATTTCATATAATTCAATTGTCATATCTGTTTCTGGTTGAAACCTATTTTTCCGTCAACCAGCTGTCGCCCCCCCCCTACGAACGACAACCCTCAAAAATTGAAACTTGTACGAGCTAAAGATTAACGAGGTCTCACTTTTCAACGTGCCATTCCTAGCATGGAATCGTCTGTTTTTTTTTCCAAAAATACTTTTTCTTTAGTGTAAATCAATGTTCATATGAAAGTAGTTTCAGGAGAGCTTTTTTTCCAGTTTGCATCTGAAAGTTACTTCTATGCATGAGCTACAAACCTTTATAGAGTTTATTTTGTGCTTGATTGCTTTCTTTCTTCCTTGGGAAGTTTCCCACATCTACTTAAAACATACCTAAGGAAGTCCCGCCAGATCATTTGTTGAATTTTTATAAAAATAATTAGCCTTTAGAAACAGATTTCGAATTCATCAAAATAAATTGCTGTACAGAAAAAAAGCTACTCCCCACCACTTGGAAGAGAGTAGCGGTAAGACCATTTCTGAAAACATCTAACCCTAAATTTTATGAAGATTTGCTTATTATTAATGTTTTGCCCATTCTCTCTAAAGTTCTGAAAAGGGTTTTAAAATTTTGCTGTTATTTGTAGTTCTTGTATAGGTACTTCCATGTTGCTTAATACCAGCAACATAATAATAAATCAAAGCCATTCCTAACTTAGAAATTCCTTAATTTTTTTGAAATTATGGTTTGAATCACCCTATATATAATGAATTGTATCTATCAACATGAATCACTTACCTAGCTAATTTCCCTCGCTGATAGAGAGCCTTGAGCAAATCAATAATGCTCCTCGCTGCCACTATCTTCTCCGGGGTGAGGTACAGTAGCTTAATGAGGGGTTCCCGACAGTGAAGTTTGGATAGTATTGTATCGCTTTCCTCCCGTGTAACGTCGGAACACATGTGAGCAGCAGCTATATCTAATCCGTTCAACTTATCCACCTGATCATTGATGAGAGCCTTCAGAGGTGAAATGACGATAGTAACACCCTCGCTCAGTATGGCTGGCAGCTGATAGCACAAACTTTTGCCTCCCCCTGTAGGCATGAGTACGAAACAGTCATTTCCATTGAGGCTGGCATTGATGATCTCTCTCTGGTGGGGGCGGAATGTCCTCAAGCCAAACTTTTCCCGCAGAACCTCCTCCATTACTTCGGAAAAGTGATAAATCTCTTTGAATTCTTTAGAATCATCCTGACGGTTCTCAAAAGAGTTTACAGGAGTGAAAGACTTCTCGTTAAAGGCATCCTCGTTCCAATCCACATCGGCCAGTTCATCAGCATAATTATTTTTGGGAGTGTCCTTTGTGCTGAACTGCTCGTCCCAATTGACACCTTCCAGATCAAAATCGTCAGAAAATGCTTTCGGCAAAGGTGACTTTTTAGAAGAACTTTCCCCAAACAGCCTTTCAAAAGTTGCGTCGTCCATGTAATCATCTTGGTCTGCATTTAGAGATTGGCTTATGAAGGTTACTTCATCGTCGAGATTAATCGTGTTGTTTGGCAAGTCATTCTTTGATAGCACAAAAGAATCGTCTGATGAACTGATGGTTATATGGCTTTTTTCCTTGTTCAGGTGAGTGTTTACTTTTAAAGTACTTTTGACGCTGGGCAAGCTTTCTTTACTTTTCTTTGAGAGGACGGGAGAAAACAAACTCGAACTAGAAGACTTCAACGCAGAGCTAGATGATGGTTTGTTGAAAACAAATTTTTTTGGCTTGATTTCAGAAGTTGCATGGAAATCGTTAAATTCACCCTGTTCTTCAATTGAATCTACGTTTCCACTCTTTTCAAGGGATGAATCATATAAAGAATCAATTTGGTCATTGTTGATTATCTTATGAGGTATTGGTTTCATGGCCTTTGAAGAGCTTTCAGATAACAAATCACTGTTATCCTTTTTTCCCTGACCATTAAGAATCCCATTGAATGTGTTTCCACTAGGTCCCATTACTGACTTTTTTTTAAATTGAAACTTGTTTGTCGTTGTTGTAGATTCCACTGATTTTACAGATGTTGTTCGTTTCATCTCAGGTATGCTTTCCGACGAATTTTGTGAAAGAAATACTCCTCTCGAAGACACCTGGTTTTCGACACTGGTACTTGCGTGAATGGTACAATTAGAAGGCACATTAGTGAGAATATTCTTGAAATTGACCTTCGAATTTTGTTCCTCGGTATAACCACTTTTACTACACTTCGAACCATCAGATATTTTCCCCAAACGTTCCTCAAATTCGGTGTTAACCCTTTTTCCGTCTCCATCATCAAAAATACTCTCAAGTTGTTTCTCTATAGCATCAGCACGAGAGAAATTACTTTCCACTTCTTTCGAAGAAACTCTTTGTGGCACTTTACTAAAATCTTTGCGAAAAAAGGGCGAACTAGTTTCGGAAGTGTTTTCTTGATTATTCGTCTGCTTTTTGAAGATGAACTTTTTAGGTTTTACAATGTTTCTCCTTTTAAATTCTTCGAAAAAATCTCCATCGTCTGCCATTGAAATTCAACCCCCAACGAAAGTACCATAACTTATACACTTATATTAATAATTCGATCGTAATTATTTACTTCATAAAACAAAATTTAAAATGAATTTAAGAAACAATTACTACCGATCAGTTTACAAACCTTCATTTTGAGGTAATGTCAACCAATGTCAACTGTCAAACTGTCTTCTTCTTATTTTGTTCGAACTGGTCACTTGGCCTCTGTTACTGTGATATTTAGCCAGTACACATGCGAATGTTTCTCGCTGCAGCATTATTCAGTTGGATAATAGGGAATACGCATATATTTCAGTTTTTGGTAAATTTTCGTTTTGTGGACACCCGGCGATTTTGAAAAAAATTTTGACTGTACTTACGTATTTTGATGCGTAGATTACGAATCCGAAAGAAAAAAGCGGCGCTCTCCCTTATTTAAAAAGTTACGGCCTTCAAAGTTCAGAAAAAGGCAACTTTTCAGTATTCTTTTTTACCAAATAAACTATTTAAAAACACAAGCATTTATTCACTAGGTCACCTACACCTTTTTCCTCCTTCTTCGATACTTTTCACTTCAATAATCAACATTTTTCTTATAAAAAACTTAATTCAAAAACGAATGCTTCTCCTGGTGACACTTTTATATTTGTAGGTTAGATACTAGTGACATTTCAGAAAAAAGCGGTTGGTATTTGTCGTCACCTACTATTTTAAATTCGTAGATTTGAATTTTTAGTTTGACGTGAGAGAAAAATACAAAATGAATTTGAACGAAATTTATAATTTAGTGAAAGTAAGAAATAATTTAATTCTATATTTGGTTCAAGTAGGAGTGTTTGCAGCAAAAATACGTTGTACTAATTGCAATGAAGAGTGCAAATTAAATTATGACACTTTATGGTAAAGATGCAATAGAAAGCGGATTATGAAAATACCGGAGAAAAAAGCTCAGTACATTTGTTGTAATTTTAAGAAAAGTGCCAAAAACCAATTTACGAGCTAAAGAATGAAGGCAAAAAACATTTGAATTACTTTAGGAATATTGACTGCATCAGTCGTACCAACCATATCATTAACCTTAAAAACGTAAAATACAGTGATAAGTAACCAAAAAGCAGCTCCGTACATTTTTTAACATTTTTATAAGAAAACTGTTGATTATTGAAGTGAAAAGTGTTAAAGAAGGAGGAATAAGGTGTAAAGGTGACCTAGTGAATAAATGCTTGTGTTTTTAAATAGTTTATTTGGTGAAAAAGAAGGCTGAAAAGTTGTCCTTTTCTGAACTTTGAAGGGCCGTAACTTTTTAAATAAGGGAGAGCTCCGCTTTTTTCTTTCGGATTCGTAATCTACGCATCAAAATATGTAAGTACAGTCAAAAATTTTTTCAAAATCGCCGGGTGTCCACAAAACGAAAATTTACCCAGTTTTTTAAATATTTTGATTCTAACACGTACACTAGGCACAAAACTGCTTGGAATAACAAAGAAAACTCTAATTTCTACATACTGTACTGAAAATGAATATTTTTTAACCTATCAAAAACGTAACTCTGTTTACATTCGTAACTATGTGTACATTCTATCTACGTATATACTTAGCTACAAATCAGTGTGTTTCGGAATAATTTGACTATTTTCATTTCTTGGCGGAAATTTCAGGCTTTATGAAAAGTGATTCGTTTTTATATGTACTCACCAAGTACCAAGATATGTATGTAGAGTGATTACATAGATATTATAACTTTCGGACCGACCGTCCGTCATTTTGCTAATGTATTATCTTTGCGGACTACATTAAAGAAAGAGATAGAGTTTTAGTGAGTAAGATAAGTTTTTTGCAGAGTTATATGAAGTAAAACTTATTTGTTTCAGGTTTTTAATCATATAAAATAGCTAAAATAGTGAAGACAGCTTTTCGTGTATCTATAGAATTTTTCAATTCTAAATTAGTCTTCATTACAACGTTAAGTTGATTTTCTCGGCGAAAATAACTTTAATATATAATAATCAATTGATGGGTACTTAATATCTAGTCTTGAAAAACTGAATGACCTTTGGGCATTTTCTGAGATGGAAAACGCCTTACTCCTTGTATCTAGACCATAATGCGTTATATAATTGCAAATACATACAATATTTTAAGCACTGAGGGTGAAATCATCTTCATCGAAGAGTTCACTACAAACGTACATTATTTAACTGATTGGCTCATCGATTTAGAGTTGAATTTTCTATCTCTTTATTATTTTCGGATTTTGGGGAAAGCTAGCTGTTATAAAGAGCTGACTTTCATATTTGTGGTAATGAATATTACAATGGATAAATGTAACAACGAATATTTGAATGTTTGCAACTATGGTTCCTTACGACAAAAAATAATGTTTCCCTGAGTTTGATGTTCAACTGATTGCGGCTAGATGTCGCCTACTCCGCGATTCTAGATCTCCAGAATATCAAAAACATGAGTTGATAATTGTCAACTGTTTTCGAATTAGATAGATTCACAAACAATCATTTAAAATAAGATTTAAACTTTGCTAACAACAAATTCACAATATTTCTTGTAAATCAAGTGAAGCCATCGATTTTCCGCGCCCCGAACGAGGTGTAGTATAAGTAACCAGAGAAGCGAACGTGATAATTAGTTTAAATCATGTCTGAATAATAAATAATTGAATGTCTCTCCCACTCCCCCTATTCGGGAGTCTCCGCCCAGGCGCTCTAACGATTTCATATTAGACACTCTTTTTCTGGGCAGACGAAAGTGGAAAGAGCAAAAGGGAAAGAAAAGGGTACCTATGTCGCGTTGGCCAGAATGTTCGAAAACTATCAAGTTTCCCTTCCCCTATAAAAATGTAATACTATCAACCCCCTGAGGTTACAGGTTATGGACATTGGCGTAGAATGGGGGTTTCACAGCAAGCTATAAACTGAAAAATATAGCCAGCATCGAATGTTAATGGCCCTGACAGATAGAAATGGCGGATGATTTTTTAATCAATAACTCATTTCATGAGACCTCGCTTCTTACCTCTATTTTTCTTTTACTCTCTTTTGATCCTGTCTGGAAACGCTATTCCAGAGTACTATAGAGAACTTGAATATTTTTCTCTTTTTCACAGATACCTCTAGGCGATGTAGGTACTTGGCAGTAAAAAAAATCCTCATGAAATATACTTAGCAAACATTTTTCTATCTTCAGTCCATCGAATACGCAATTGTACTCAACATGTGCTGACTGTCCTGAACTGTCAACCAATTTCTTCCGAAAATATACAATTCGACTTCAATTTCTACAAAAAAAAACTGAGCGTCATTCGCGAGAGGGAAAACGTATTTCCGATTCTGGAATATTGGTAATATGTTATGTACCTACAGTTCAACTCCAATTAACTCTGAATTGTCCACAATTAGCGACGCAGGAATTCTAAGAGATGAAGTGAAACGCTCGGGAGTCTTGTAACATACTCGGGGAACAACTAAGTGGAAACCATAAAATGCGAGATTCTACGTTACCGATTAAAATTCATGAAATATCACGGCGGCATGGCGAGTTCATACATTTCAGATGAAACGAGAGAGCATCCAACTCATGGAGCAAAATTTGAAATAAAATACCGAGGTTGTGAGAGTAATTTTTTGACAGGGGCAGTCTCAAAATTATGTAATAGATCCAAAAGATTTTTTTTCAATTTGCGGCAAAACCTTTCTAAAGAATATAAAGACTCATGCATTGAGAATTTTGATTGGTTATTTCAATCTGTTGTAATTTCAGTGGATATCCACCTTCAACGAAAGAAAAATAACTTCGCATAGTCATTGACTATAGCTACATCGACAGCGATAATGGAAGTGTTTCTGTCATCCTTTTACAGGGAATATTGCAGAAACACAAAACTATTTTCAATCTTTTTTTGTTCGGTCTTGCCGTTTCCGAGATACCTCGAACCCTTGGGAATTCCGTTCTGTTGCTGTTTGTCTACACGTCGGTGAATATTTTCGAAACGGGTCACATTCGCTCCGTTTCGGTCCTGGTTTTGAGAAGACGGAAACGCGCCGAGAAAAACGAAGAGAAAATGAAAATTAACCGACGACCGCTCTCTGACGAGTTAACAAATTCTCGCGATGCCGACTCGAAACGAAACAGGAGTTTAATTTGTTTTAAAGCGGATGTGACGAAACGTCGATTCTTTCCTGAGCATCCACCTGCCGAAAGATAGGATCGATACGCGATATCGTTCATTGAGGGCGACTGCGTTGCGTTTTAGGAAAAAAGGGGGTTTGACAATCTCATTTTTCATCCTGATCGGCAAAAAGTGATTTTTCGGACTTTCTGGTACTACACTAGCTGACCCGACGAACCTCTTAAAGCCTTCGAATTAATAAATGTGTTACGTTATTAACCGACTTATATATTAGGTACCTTTTTCATATTGAGTTTATGAAGCACGAATTCTACTACTATATACCTAAACATATGAAAACTGCCACTAAACAGTTATTTAATAATTATTTTGGAAAGATTTCTTCTTCATCTGCATTGGATTGATTCGCAATATTTTACAGTCTAACTGCATTACGGATTTGTTGTAAAAGATTTGATCATCTCACTCGGTGCATCGTTAGTAATACTGATGGATATTACTGACTTTGCTTTTATTATGACATCACTATTATTCACGCGCGCCTAATCACAACGCTCATACCCTCAATTGTCGTTGCTCGCATTATGACTGCTATAACCTAACAATACTGAACGTTGAATTCAATTAATTTTAAATATTTTGTATTATTTTTCAAATGTTTCAATACTCACCTATTCTGCTTTTCGGGGCGGAACAAACGAAAAATCATAAAATACGGTTCAGCCGTTTTCGAATTGTAAATGGAAATTAGGCAAAAGGTTGAATTGTCGATGCCACAATTAAACAAAGGATCCTTGAATATCTCAAAGTCAATTTTTTTTTCATATAAAGTCAATTATCCATTGATTTTTTCAAATACATTTACATATTGCCTTGTTTTTACATTTTTTGTACAATATATACGATATACCTGAAAGAGCTTATTACATTTAATGTAATACTGTAATAATATAAATGTAATGTATTTACATGTTGAAAATACTATGCGCTTCTCCATTCGTTACGAAGAAACAGTTCGTCGGGTTCGTAATACTAAAAAACATACTTCTATCCTGAGTCAGAGCAACAAAAATGTTCTTCAAATAGAACCGATTCATGTATTCATTTAGTTAGTCTATTTCGCCCATCCGAGCGATCATGTGATTATCTAATTTACCATCATTCAGAATTACAGACATCAAAGAAGCAAGTTTTTGTGTTCAGCTCCGAGTCTATTCAGGAAATTCAATGGGTTCCTCGGCTTTTATATTCGTTTCAAAAGCCTAATTAAATTATCTCCCGAAATACCACACTATTCACTGGCACTATACTAGCTCAAATGAGGCTGCGACGAGGTTATGATGAGAAAAATATAATTTCTCAATATATTTGAAACATGAATAAGTGAAAAAAGTACCGAAACACATTTTCAGTATGCTCCAACAACTCAGTCTACCAGATGAACAGTTATTTTTCAAACTCACCTGAAATAGGAACTCGTAGCCTGACAATCTCTGCATTTCTGATTCGATACAAGGATAAAGCTACGACATGTTGACACCAGAAAATGTCTTTCGTTTCGCAACTGCATGTTACTGAAGTTATTTTACACCTAAAAAAAATAAATGAATGAAAACTAAATATCTAGTGACTTCATAATGCATATAGTCATCAAAAACTGAAAAAAATAAACCAATATATCATATGTATAAGGAAAATATTGGTGAGCCTGCGAAAACCATTTTCTGGATAATTGTGGAAGAAGATCCTGGCAACTATAGAAGGTTTTGAAAGGGATCCTAACAGATCCAGTGACATAAGACTTAAATCTTTCAAATTGTCGGTAAAGGATATTACTAAAAAATGTGGTCTCATTGAGGTGAGTATAAACTTATTTAGGATTTCAGAAACTTATTTAAAGCAAACAGAAATTAAATATCCTTTTAAATGTCAGCTTAAAAGGATGTCTAAGACAATGAGCAGTTTTAGCTTAAAAAATCACGAGGAAAGTATTTTTTCAACTAATTGCGAAAGAAAACAGGTACATTCTACAATCTTATTTTATTTTAACAATTTATTGGGTTTAAAAATCCCTCAGATGTAAGAGCTCGGTATATGTTCTCCAGACAGTATTGATTCGACAATTCGTTGTTATTTCATTTTCTTTCGAATCCAAACTTAGGAAAAGTTTCCATGACGGGTCGGTTGAAAAATTTCTGCGATTCATCGGAAAACCCAGCTACATAAAGAAAGCAGCAGCGCACAATACTGCAATTTAAGTTTTTATCTTTGAAAGAAAAATATTTGGATTTGAAAGGAACCCTGAAGGGAATTTACAGCCTGCATATTTCACAGCGATTTTCTTTTGAATTTCGCTCAATCGAACATCGACTGGATTCGGGTGGACCTACGTGACGTATGACAAACATAAATTGTGACAGTTTGAAGGGACAAAGAAAATTGCACGAAATAACAGTCTTTGGGTCTTTTTGACAGTTTCACACGTGATATATTTTCATGATGACGAATGTTTATAATAAGATGCTGAATCACTCACCTATCAAAACTAACGGAAACCTTGAATTTTTGTGGTGGTTCGGGAGCACCACAAGGTAACGTCGCCGTTGGGGAGGATCGTGAGGCGGTTACGATGCCGCTTAGATGAAAACCTGAAAATAAAAGTTTCGTTAGGCACCTCACATTAGTTTTAAATGTCCGACTATAGTTAGCCCTATAAAGAAGGAAGTACGTGTATATTGTATATATCAGAGTACCAACATTATTGTTGTTATCATCAGTAGTAAATGTGAAAATTCTGTTAGTAACTTCATCTATAACTCAAGAACGGATGAGTCGATTTTTAATTTGTTGGGTTTCTCTCCGTCCGGAAATAAATAGAAGAGTTTGCTTAAAAACTCGATATGAAAACACATATTACAGTATAAATTACAGGGAAAAAACTAGTAGTACTCATAACGAGTTAAAAAATGAGTTGAGAGCTAAAAGTCCCTCAAAATAAAAATATTTCCCTCAAATTCCGTCATCAGTCAATAGTAGGTAAATATTTTCCAGGGGAAAAATAATTCGGTCAATAATGTTCCATTTTCATGTCGAACTTCCGTAGGAAAACAAAGTCCTCCAAAGAAAACGGAACATCATTCACCAGTAACGAGTAATCCATACGGGGATTCTCTTTTTTGCCACGAAAAGCAACCCGCTATTGTACAATATTTTCAGCGGAACGAAAATACACAACATTCTATAGAATGATGGGGGCCTTTGTGTGTTGTGTGCCCGGCTGAATACAAAAGTTTCTCTAATCTTTCCAGAATGTCTATAGAAATCGCACAAAACTTTCGAAAGTAATATACCATCCATTGTACGGAGTTTCTCGTCTTCAATAACAGTTCTGTCGTCTACAGGGTGATGGATGCTGGACAATGGAACATTCTTATTGAGACTGTATAGAAAAATGATGAACGGAATCAATTTGTATATACATCAATGGTTTTTATATTTAGAAATAACTATTAATATTTTATAATTCGATCACGAAAACTATTGCATTTATTAATGGGAGATGTTCGGATATTTTTACTTATTATGTACGAAGCTAGTAATTTGCAGATTCTTCCACCATTACTGATGATGTACTAATAAGAACATTAATTTTGTAGTAGCGTTACAGAAATTCGAAGAGGATCTTAAGTGTAGATACTAAATAGCTGAAAGGTTTCATGGGCATTACTGCACTGTAGTATTAGTTAAAAAAGCACAAAACATAGATTATTTGTATACAAATGATACATTCTAGCCAAAAAATACTTCTTACCCCAGAAAATAAAACAAATTACAACCCCATGGTAATACAAACATCCACTGGGCCAACCTTTATTATCAAACAAACACAGAAAATTACGATCTATAGCTTGTTATTTCAAGAAAAAGCTATTGTATAGTTTGTAAAAATGGCACCTTCAATTCGACATGTATCATTCGAAGACCATTATTGCGTTTTGAATTCGGTTATATCTTTCGAATTAATCCTTCAATAGTCAGTCCATAACATCGAGACCAATACTTACAAAGATACTATGAATCAATTGATCATTTCTTCTAAACTTTCACATTTTTTCAAGATATCTGTGAAAGAAAAACTGGGAACCTTTCAAAGAAAGAAAGAAAGAATATCACTACAATAAAAAGTCTACAGAGGTAGGTACGTAAAAGTCATATAAGATAATAACAGATGGCAAACGTTTAGTTTCACTGGAATTATCCTATAATTTGAGAAGTTAAAACCTTGAATATAAATTTATAAATTGCCATTCAAAAAGGTCTGCCGAATGTAAAGCAATATCCGTCACAGTATTAGCCAAATTAATATGGCACCTATTTTTCAAATTCCAACTATGTATGAATCACTAGCAAGTTTATCGAAATATTAGTTTTCGTAGTAGAACGTTTCGAACGCTTTCCTACCATGACTCACCTATTAATAAATCATGAACTGCTTTTGCGAATGCGTTGGATGCGAGGCGCGCAATCTACCGATATAAATGGCCGAACACGAAACGTCGATAAATTATATCGGTGGCAATTTCGAAAATTGTCGTGAATCGCGGTCAACTAATAATTATTCTGTCTAAAATATAAAACTGACAAATCGTTGCATGATATTCGCGTTGCATGCAAATCACAAGTAAAATATGACCTGTTTGGGCTTTGAATAAATGAATAAATCACTCTAATTCGATGCGGTCACAGGATCTGCAGAGGCACGAACAGGCATCTGATTTGATAGGTAAGTTATTTTCATTTTCGAAACTTGTTGATGCCCTAATGTTTCACCTTTTCTGTTCTAAATATCTGTTGACACAGAAAACCTCAGAAACAGATTCTTCCCAAAATTTAAACCAATCTAACTTCGTTGTGTAATCTTCAAAGTGAACTAATTATCAGTAATTCAACACATGCTCTTCCACCAAGAAATAATTTGCAAATGTTGAATTGATCTTGTCATTTGAAAAACTACTTAGTCAACTTATTAACTCCTTATTTTTCCGACAGTGAAGTTTTGTCTATTATGTTCAATAAACTTGCTTCAAATTTCATTTGGATGTAGTCTATGGAACAAATAAATAACAATTTGAGGCAGGTTTACTGAAAAAAAGACAAAATCGGGACATACAAGTTGATTTGTGATACTTGTACCAATTTTTATGTTGAATAAACAGGAAACACATTACATAAAAGAATAAAAGAGGTACTGGTTATGTATAAGCTACCGAGTAGCGAAATGCATGGTAAAGAAGATTCATTATGAAAATTCTATAATAATTATCATGGCTACATAGTGTAATTAATTTTCATCAAGTAACGGGTCAGAGTATTTATAAATTGGTGTTCTAGGTGAATGTGTCTGAATCTGGGAGTTCATTGTACACTATTTATATCGGTTTCTTGGATTATTCGAGGTCTTAGTGGTTCTATCTAGTATATATCTGGAATAAAAATTATCTGTGCTTGTCTTCTTTTCGTTTAAGATGACCAGGAGCTGCTTAATGAGGAGAATAGCGAGAAACACGCGTCTAGTGCGTGCGTCCCTTTTTGGACATGTTCTCCAGAACAGTTAACAAAACGTTTTTAAAATTTTCATGACAGTATAATCTTTCATGAGTCTAATAAGTTTTAAAGTGTGTTTACATTTATTTAAACCTGTAATATCTCAAGAAAAATATAATTTATCTGCAAGCTTCACATTTTAAGCCACAACTTTTCATAAGTATAATTTCACTGGTGGTAATTCTGTTATTATTTATACACCTCATTGTACCTACTATGAAGTTTCTGAAGAAGATCCAATTGTAGTCTCAAAAGCTAGAAGAGAAAAAAGAGTTCTCAATTTTTAATTTTAGCAGTTCTATAATTCCGAGTTCATTATTCAGGTGACCTAATGTTCATTTAGGTCACCCTTTCTTTCAACTTAACATCTGAATCACAATAAAAAAACACTGTAGTAGGCAACAGTTTGATAGTACAAAAGTAAGGTACCTGTAAGTTTAGAACCTTAAAGGAATGGGACCTCTGCCGGTACGCCCGCAGAGGAATCAACTTGATATATTTTCATAGACAACAAATAAACTCTGATTTTCGAGGTTTCCACTGAAGAAAATTCAATTTCCTCCTTGCACACTTCTGAAACATCCCAGTCAAATAAGTCGTAAATAACAAGTCAGACCTGAGCAATTAGTTCGAAAGTCTAGATACGTCATCGATAAGCTCTTGTGCCGCGAAACGTTTTACTAAAGAAGGAAACGACAACATGTAATAATATTGGGGGGAACGTCTGCGAATTAAATGGGAAAGCTCACGCGACCTTCGCCCTATCGACTTTTCCTGACGCGGTGGAAACTCGAGGATTTGTCTGTAGGTCAATTCAAAAAGAATTAAGGAACGATTATTTAACACATTAACGATTCAAAAATTAATTTCCTACTCCTGTCATCACAGTATCATTGTTAACTCGACTCTTTTTTGTTATTGTTATTTAATCATTGCTATTCACTGAAAGTTGTTTTCTTTTTCCTGTGTTTGTCCAGTTTCAATTATACTTTTTATGGTGAATGAAGACGTATTATTATTATTATAAATTATTGTTAAAAAAGAACTTATTGGAAAGAACTAAGAAGTATTTAAAAAATGTCAACTCCGAAAGATGATGAAAATGTATTGAACATTTTATAAAAAAAAGGAAAATATATGGAAAATAGTAGAACCTCCAATCATAACATTCGAAGAAAATTCATCGGATTCATCAGATGATAACACACCATAATTTTTGCTTATACCTAGCAGCTGTGACAAATCCTAACGAATTCACAAGATTTTGTTTGAGCACTCTGTTAGCGATTGTCATTTAGAATGAGCATTTTAGACTTTTTACCATTTAGGAAACGGAGTATAAAAACAAAATACCATACTTTGGTCATTTCAGAGCTGAAAAACAATTTGGTTGAGAATGTTAAGCATTCCAGTTAATCAAAAATTTCACGGGTCGAGCATTTCATCACGTTCCCGACAATTTCCAAAGATTTCGACCATATACTCACGATCTGACTACCTGACAAAGAGAAGTGTAAAAATCGAGCGAATCGAGCGACCATCTAGAAAACAAAACAGTGTAACGGCGATTAGGTTGATGGGAGGTCAAGAGAGCATGAGAAAAGAATGACAGGCAGTGTTGCCGCGATAGATTTTTGTTTTTCCGAAATCTGTTTCAGGTTGAGTCGGCCATATATATTGTTTTTACTTGACAGATTAGGATATCTTTCATTTTACAGTACAATGTTAAAAAAACTTCTGAAATAAGACTAATTGTACATTGTTTAGTTAGTGAGGTAGTACGGGGTTCATTAAGAACTGATCTAGATCCTCCTTAAATTACAAGGTACGACTTGGAATATCTCCTGGACACTGTTGACAAACATTCTCGAACATGAAAAAAAAGAAGTGATAAGGTGTGCTCAAAAGATTTCTAATTTCTGAAAAATGAATATCGACGACTTAGATTACTTAGAACAATTTTTTCAAATGCCAACTATTAGAATGTGGCCCGTTTTTCTGGATTTCATTAGCTCATCATTTACTTCGTCATAAAGCACGATTA